TAGAAAAATTTTATGAGCATGTCAGTGTTTTAATATTTTCAATTTTCAATCATTAATGAATTATTCTTGGATGACATAAGGTATGAGCTTGGTATCAAACACATTAACATACCTAATTAGGCAAAAATAAGTTTAACACTTTAACCTCAACTCATAATGAAACAAAACATGTCATAGTCAATGTATTTCTTTAAAATTAAATCGGTTTATAGCAAAATTAAAAACTACATATACCTATGAAACACCTTATATATTTTTATTATTTGTAGATAAATCCTATTAGTGTATCAGTCTTTTAATGTTTTCAATTTTCAATCTTTAATGAATTATTCTTGGATTACTTAAGTTGCCTCTAAGGTACGGGCTTTGAATATGTAAGTCTACTATGCGAACATTTTAAGAAATTAGTAATTATTTGTCACTCTTGGTTATAGCAACAAACAAAAATCCTTTAAACAAATCTATAATTGGTGTTGGTGTACTTATCTGTATTGGTTATATAATTGGCAAAATTATTTGAAGGTTTATCAGATTAATTCGAGTAAAATTAGGTTGGCTGCTGAATTGCTAGACGTTGAAATGAGTAGACACCCTTATATTAAGCATAAATTAAATAAATTGCATAATTATTGTATTTAATCATTTTTTAAATATTAATAAATTAAATATTATATAAAATATTACTAAAAACTTTATTATTATTGAAATACTACTAATTTAAAAATTATACATCATAATATATACTAATATGTAGTTTAAATTTTAAATCTATTAATATAATATTTAAATTTAATATAGTTATTAAGGTAATATCGATCGATCAAAATTAATATTAAAATTAAGGTTTAATAAAATGTGAAAATATAAAGATAAGTAAATTTAAATGTAAGACAAAATAAATAATTAGATAATATAATAGTGGAGAGAGAAGTAATGTCATTTTTAATTGTTAAAATAAAATAAAAATTAATGTAGTCATTTAATTCAATTATAAATTATAATCGTAACTATATAAAATATTTAAGTAAAATTATTATTATATTATTGTATGCTAGTATTTTGCTTATCTAATTAAAAAATATATATTATTAGTCAACATAAAAATCATATTATTAGAATTTAAATGTAATCAATTAGTTATTAATTATATACATAATAAAATAATCAATTTATTAACTCTATTATTATTATTAGAACTATTAAAAAAAAATATATATATATATTAATTAAATTAAATTATAATCGTACCTATATAAAAATATATTTAAGTAAAATTATTATATTATTGTAAGCTAGTAAATGTAGTAGATTAAAAACTATATATAACATATACCTACTAATATTTAGTTTATTAAATATATTACTATAATATTTAAATTTAATATAGTCATGTAACTAATTATCGGTCGATCAAAATTAAAATTAAGATTCAATAAAAGGTGAAAATATAAAGATTAGTATATTAAAATGTAAGGTAAAATAAATAAATATACAATATTATAATAGTAGTGATAGAATTAATCTTATTATTAATTGTTTAAAGAAAATAAAAAATAATGTAATAATTTAATTCAATTATAATCGTACCTATATAAAATATTTAAGTAAAATTATTAGTATATTATTGTATGCAAGTAGATGTAGTGCTTATTATGCTTATTGGATTTAAAACATATATTATTAATTAACATAAAAATAATGTTATTAGAATTTAATTATAATCAACTAATTAATCATTTTACATATAATACTTACCTAAAAATAATATTATCATAAAATTATGTAGTCTGTAGTGCTTTATTAATATAATCAGTAAGTATTACAAAATTATTCAATACCCACATGTAATATCAGCATAATATATAAGGCGTATCGCCAAAAGTAGCTTAACCCACAAATAAATTAATTTTGTTTTAATAAACATTAAAAAAAAATAGTTTTGACCTAAAAACTCTACTAAAATATCACACTTTACCGATCATTATCTATATATATGTTATTAATCATTATCAATGTATTAACTGTCTTATTCTTTAAATAGTAAATCGGAGACCATAGCACATTTACTACTACTCAATATCTTACATGTTCATTCAAGTTTTAATAATTTGCTCTATGGGTGCAATAAATGGTATTTATTTTTTTTTTAATTTTAAAATTATTTAAAAAAGAACTCGTATCTCCTTAAAAAAAATTGTCTTACGAAAAAAGTAATTTCAGATTTGAAATCAGGAGAAAACATCTTGCTGAATTGATATGTAACATGATTTTTTGGTATCTGGCCACACTCGCGTCCACTGAGTGGCCGCTGAGTGGCCGGCATGTGACCAAAACCAATGTATGATATGTGACACATAATTTTGGGTTATAATTTTATTCTTAGTTCAGTGGTGTCCTTAGAATTATTTTATATTAAATGATGTTTCACATGCCATATGTTGGTTTTAGTCACATGCCGGCCACTCAGTGGCCACTCGGTGGACGTATGTGTGGCCAGATACAAAAATACCATGTTACATATCAATTCAACACGATTTTTTTCGTAAGACCATTTTTTAATGAGATACGGTTTCTATTTTAAATAATTTTCAAATTAAAAAAAAATGAACACCATTTATTGTACCCATAGAGCATCTTAAATGCCTCATTTGAAGGTCGGCAGAACTTAACATTACACCCTGTATGTCATATTACACTCAATAGTTGTCAATCGACATAATATTTTATATTTCAAACGGATCTAAGTCCAATTACAATATTATATATTCAAAAAAATACAATAAACACATATTTTATTCACATACAATAATTAATTAATCCTAACATATTAATATAATATTGTCTAAACGTTTAACTAAGCACTTCTTTTAAATTTATAATTTAAACTATTTTCAAAATTTAGACACAAACATAATGTTATTTACCATATTATAATATCAATGTACTAGTATAACAGCTGTTAATAATAATATAATATTGCCAAAATAAAATTTAGCACTTCTGTAGTATTTATTTTGTACTTTTTTTTCTCCTAAATTATACCCTCTTCCTTACTTGTGGTTACATACAAACAAACATGAGGTTTTAAAAATAATAATGTATTTTGTATCAAGATACCCAAATACATGAACGTATAAAAATTGCCTATGCAAAACGCCGTATTAGAAATCGTATCTATGTGGAATTTTGGTCAGTGATAAACACAAAAATAACCAATTTGAACTATGATTAAATTATTTAAATTTGTTTATTTCAGTACAATATTACTTTCTTGAATTTAAAAAAAAATCAAGTTATTGGAATGAAGCAAAATTTAATATTGAGAACTTTAAGATGGAAAAAATGACATAATGCTACACACTAATGGTGAGAGGGTAGATCATTGTCTTACTTTTAATATAAGTTCTTATTAATATATGGTAGATCGGTATAATGATTTTAATTTTAAAAAGCCAGTTTGTCGCATCAAGTAACAACTTGATTTTCAATTTTCAACTAAAAAATATAAAAAGTTGATTCTAAGCTGATGTTTAGAAAGGACTTGTCAAGAAGATACAAATAATTTGAATTAAAACAAAATTATTTAAGTTTTTTACAATTAAAAAAAGATTTCTCAGGTTTAGCTACATTTTTGTTTAGCAGAAATTCTTTTGACGGAATTATTTAATTTTACACAATCCAATTTACTTCAATAATAATAATAAACACTGATTTCTTTGCTTTGAAATTTGTTTTACTCACATTGTTTTTTTTATAAAGTGAATTTCGAAAGCCTTTAAATTGGCTTTTTTTTGTAATCAGTTTCAAATATAATAATACTGCTATACTTTTATGAAGCTAAATTGCAGCAAATGTCAGGTGCTACAAATATTAAAAGGAACCGTTGAAATTTGTTGGATTTAAATAGCTTTATTATACATTTTGGAAAACATTAAATAACAGAATTAATAATAACTACCTAGAAAATTGTATATTGTGATATTTTTTTTATCATCTAGAATAATACGAGTTAAATCTTTTATTTCGTTTGTAAATTCAATCATAACAAAACTGTCCAACAGTTCATATAGTTTTTTGAAGTAAAATAATAAGCGTCGCCGTTTCAACAGGTAACCAAGTACTTTTATAAATATAATTGTATAGCAACAACTGTCTTCTTGAAATCAGTCTAATTGTCTTTACTTTGTGTCAAAAACTATTCGCGCGTGCATAGCTTTATTTCAATTTAAAGGTATACCTATAAAATTATATTCAAACAACACATTTGTTTATTTCAAGTACATTAAAACATGTGTATCTTTATTGACTTTTTTTAGCATGATCAAATAACAAACGGCGATAAACAAAAAAACAGTGCCTACAAAATACTGTACATTGTTTTTTACATTTTTTTTATAACCTACGATTGATTTTTTGACATAAAAAAAATATCTTCGAGTAGGTAACTACAAGAATAGTCTTTATTTTCCGACAAACATTTACAAAATATAATAAATATAATGTAAGACAATTCGACAATTAAACATACATAATATAAAGTAATATAATAGATATTATATACAATAAAATTTTTCGAATAAATCTATAAATAAAGTTAATAGTTATACTATAATATAGTTTAAAAAAAAAGTTTATTCTAATCATTTGTTGTACAGATTGTAAGTTTTCAATAAAATATGAAAATAAATAAATAAATATTCAGTATATATACATGGCAAGCTTGTCTCGGTCTCTGAATTAACGATTACGTTATAACTAAATAGTGGGTTGTTTATGCCATTATACATTTAAAAAATAAAAGAGTAACCAAATCATTATATTTGAACAAATGTCAATTTGGGTAAGTTGTATTGTTTTCAGAAAGTCGCAACAATAAATAAACAGTATTAAAAATAAAGTCGTACGACGATTGGCTTGCTTAACAAAACAGTCGATTGGTACATAATGTATAATTGGTCTAATCACAAATATATATATATATATATATATATATATATATATATATATATATATTTTATTTTTTTATTAATCTAAATCAATTAGTTTGCAAATTTATTCAAATAAAATTTCGATATTTGATCGTCGCATATGTTGACTAGATCATATTTCAGTACATCTGTAAAGTCGTCAACGAAATGTTGCCCGCATTGACTGTTGATTATTTTTTTAATGGACTCGACGCGGCGTGGAAAACTCGAATTGGAAGTCAACAAATATTTGATCACGTCCAGGCTGACCGTCGATCCGAATTTCAGACTGTAGCCCGTTTCTTTGGCCCATTCGTAGATCATGCTGCAGTTTTCCAACGACATGATCGAGTTCATCATTATCATATTTAGCTGTTCGGCCAAGTCGTCCAGCATGTATCTATCGGCCACGACGATTAGTTCCAAGACGATTTTGACGTCTTTCGGCAGCATGCACTCGCAACACACTTCGAGTAAATCCAACAGCAGCTTGAAACACTCGGCACTGACGTCGTTCAGACGTATGGTCTTCTGATAGGCTTCCATAAAGCCACCACATCGAAACATCGCTTCAAACATTGGAGACTTGAGCGACAAAAACGATTTGTTTGCATTCACCAGAGTGCCATCGTCTAAAGCCAGGACCACGGTCGTTTCCTTTTTGACAATTGTCTTGCAGCAATTTTGATCTTCGCAGCGGCTTATGAACGAACTTGTGTACACAATGTTGGAAGTTTTGAATAAGGCTATTAAGGCTCCGACACTGTGATTGAATAATTCGTGTTGAGTGTCTTTGATTATACTGCATAAGTTGTCGAACACGTTGTAGCGAAACAACATTGACAACAGCTGTGGAGGTTTACTGAAAAATAAAAATAAATTATATACAAATAAATAGGTATTATATTAAGGTGAAATAAAATTCAAACAAGTACAAATTGGTTATTATAGTCAATACCTTTGTATAACAAGAGGAGTAGTAACTGATACTAATGACTTGACATATTGTCTATCTCTTTCGTTCATAATACTGGTCATGACGTCTTCCGCAAACATAGATTCATAAGTGACCGAGGCACTTTTGATGATGTTAAGACCTATGGAGTGTCGATTTTTGCAGTTCTTGCACAGGTTGAGGTCATGTTCAGGTTGACACAGCTTTTGGTGTGTGGCAACGATAAATCCTTCGGTGAGAATGGTTTTGAAGTTGATTACGTCACTAGCGAATTAAAATACACACGGTAATTATGACGTCTTTAGAAATTGTCTACTAGAACACTACTCACAGAACAATCATTTGTAATATCGTTTGTGGCTTTTCATGGTCAAAACTGTCTTCGATGTAAAGAATATAGTCCAATATCGTTTGCCATACGTCTTTGCTACCCATCATGTTGACGCCAAATTTCTGATACGATAACAATTTTAATAAAAAAATTATTATATTGTCACCGGTTTGTTTGTCGGGAGTTTCAATTTCTTTATCATCCTCCTGCAAAATTTTTAAGTGTATACAAATTTCATGATAATAATTTTGAAAAAATCATCACTAGGTAATATTTTTATCAATCATTTACCTTTACTTCGTAATCACTGATATCAGATCTAGAGTCTGCATTGATAGACTCGCCATCGAAAGATCCACAAACTGGTGAATAACAAGGAGAGTACGAATCGGTCGCGATATTTTCATTGATCGGAGGTGTCAGACTTCTAGCTGGCGGACTGTACGGACTCATGCCCGACGAACCGGCCGGCGAATAGCTCACAAAGGACAAAGTGCTCTGCGACTGAGTTTTTGTTTCGGGCGGGCATAAGTTTGGCATTTTGTTTGCTTCAATGTACGACGACAAGTTTTTAATTAACATTGAAATTAATCCTTTTTTAACCATTTCCTACAAAAAAACAAGAGATTGTTACTATGGAAAACTTTAATAATAATCATTTTGCACAGAAATCATATAGGTATAATGGTGTTTCTGTTTTACAATAAAACTTTGGAAACGGGCTATAAGTTATCCACGACGAATGCTCTGCAAAAAGAAGGCTACATAATTTTGGAACACATATCACACGGAAGTTATGGTGAAGTGCGCCACGCTAAATACGTATCCGAAAACAACGAGCACGATTTGGTGGTGAAAATTATCGATACACATCAGACAAGCAAAGACTATGTCACGAAATTCTTACCGCGCGAGCTAGACATACTGCGTAAAATCAATCATCCGTACATAATATACACACACAGTATACTGCAAAGAAAAGCTGTACTGTTCGTTTTCATGGCATACGCAGGAAAAGGTACAACTCCATAACAGTGTTCGACGTTATTCATTAACCAGTATTGACATTGTTTAAAAGGTGAACTGTTGCAATACATAATTAGAGAAGGACCGTTGAAAGAAGGCCAAACTAGAGTTTGGTTTCGTCAATTGGCATTGGCCATCCAATACTTGCACACAATGGACATAGTGCATCGGGATATCAAATGTGAAAACATATTGATCACAAATCATTTCACAGTGAAATTAACCGATTTTGGGTTTTCGAAAATCGTTAACAGAGCTAAAAAAATTAATTGCAGCACGTATTGTTGTTCTGTAGCGTACGCTCCACCCGAAGTATTAGGCGCACGACCGTACGATGGTAAAGCGTCAGATATTTGGTCGCTGGGAGTCGTGTTGTACGTAATGCTTAACAAGAGAATGCCTTTTAACGATACAAACGTCAAATTAATGTACAAACAACAAGTAATAACAACATTTCTTTATAAAATATATATATATATATATATCCACATAAATATATTTGTAATTGAACTGTTACCTAAACTTTTTTCCAAACGTATTTACAAGGTTAAAAGGGAATGGTTATACCGAACAAGCATAGAAAATTTACTCAGCGATGAAGTCAAGACTTGTATTAACAACATGATGCAACCAGAAACGAGAAAACGTTGGACAATCGACACAATATTAAATTGCGAGTGGATAAAAATGAACCCCAAACTGCTTACGTTGAACGAACAAGAGTCATTAGCTCTCGTGGATGCAATAAAATTAAACAAAACAAAGAATCAACATCATCTGAAAAAAATCGAATCGAATAATACAGAGACGCAAAAAATAATGATTACACGTCCTCCACAATACGAAAGTCAAATTCAATCGTTAGGATCGGTTAACAAAGAACAGACTCTAAGGATGAAGACGTCCAAGGTCTACAATACTAAACAACCACAACGTCTGGTGCGCACTAAGAAAACGTCTTTTGTTAACCATGCCGTTACTTCTTCGGAAAACGTTTAGGTATTACAATTAATTAAAATTTAAAAAATTTAACACTTAAGTTGATACGTACTTCTAACGATCGTTTGTCATATCGAAAATGCGTCAGAGCAGTCATTGCTAATTCCTTGTATATTGGATTTGTACCAGATATCAAGTCCAAAATAACGGACAAGCCGTTTGTCCATTGAGTCATACAACCGCGATTCGACGGACACTCACACAAAAGGCACAATGATACTGTCAAATCTGTAAAGAAAAACATCTTTTCGTCATAACTTTAAAAAATTATAGCGCAACAAAATTAGCTGCACAGATTTTTATTATTTAACAAAAAAACACCATCGGGAAACAACATTGTACTACGAGTACTTACAATGGTTGTTTTCTTTTTCTAAATAATCAACAATGCGTTCCATAGTTCCAGCCAGAGCTAGCTGCATTCTAGTTTGACGGACTTTACTCAATAAATAAATAATTTTACTGGCAATCGGATTATTCGGCAGTAAATTCATCAAAGTAGTCATAGTGTTTTTCACATCTTTTCCCAAAATCTAGATTTAAAAAAAATGGAAATATTTCATTTTTATGCATGTTCGTATTATAAAAATGTTTTTTTTTTTTTTGTTAGTCGTTTTCCATACTTGTAATACAACAAATTGGTTGTTTGTTAGATGCTTGGGATTGCCAGCGTTAGCTAAGAACGATAATTGAGCCCTTAAGACGGCTGAAACTATATCACTGCAGTCTGAAAACAGCAACTCTGAGATAATTGCAATGGCTTGATTTTTTAACATCTCAGTGCAACCAGTTTTAGATGAATTTTCCCATATTTTCCTAAAAGAATACCAAATTGGGTCTATCATAATATTACTTAATTTTGCGGTCATAATCTAAACGCACTTACCTTAGAGCTCGAATTGCAGAAAATCTTGTTCCATTGCAATTAGTGTAGGCCAGTATACTAATGACGGTATTTGGAATATTATGTTTGTACATATTCGGTATATGAACTTGAGAGATTGCAAGATTGGCAACCATTCGACATGTGCGATTGTGAATGTTATCAACGTTAATATTTTTCATAATGAAAGCAAGATCTTTGATGATTCCGCATTCGAATAACTGTAATTAACATGTAATATTTTAAGGATTAAATGAAGATTAACTGTAATAAAATGATAATCATATGTTTTTTTACTTGTTCTCTGCAGGATTCGTCCATGCTGCAGTTTCCTAGTATACTCAGTGTCAATGACAACACTTTTGGATTCACCTGTTTTAAACATTTAACTAATATTCTGATACCTCCGAGTTCTCGAAGTTCATTAATTCCTTCAGGTCTGCTAATGATGTTAGTTCGAACATAATGTAGGCTACCACAAATACGACCTTTATCTGAAGATATATGATTCAACGCAGTTGAAATTGACTCCATGTCTAAAATAAAAAAGTTGACATTAAAGATTCACTGTCTTTTGAGATTTTTTTTTTTTTTTAATTATTATTTTAATAAAATAATTTTCTACATGAGTAATTTTTTGAACAAAATCCGTACCGATGATTACAAATTGGTTTGTAGGCGTTATTAGGTAGATTATTTTTTCTTTTTATAAAGTTAAACAAACATACATTTCAATTATTTATACAATTAATCACAACGATAATTATTGGTATATTTATCATTGTTTCAGACATGAAACGTGAAAATGGAATGAACCGTATTAATGTCGACTAGGTTAATCAAATAAAATAAAATGTTATTTATTATATAATATTTCATACCTATTAACTAAAATCATTAACAAAAAGAAAATACCTATTACAAAAAACTATCAATAGTACTGTTCTGTTGTTGGCTGTTGTTACATGGATTACAGATTAGGTATATCATAAAGATAGTCCACGGACATAGTAAATATGGTAACCCTTATGATACCGACATGGCCGTAACGAGTGCATTGGTTGCGTCCAAAATTGGGTGGCCGAAAAAGTATACGGCGTGGTCTATTAATCTTTGTACAATCTCTATGGCTGTTATGAAATGAAATCAATCAATTTCAACGTCTATCGCCGTTAATCTAGGTTACCATTTGGTAACCTAACGTTTTCTACCGTGGTCATTGTATAACGTGTATTGATAAAGAAATTCGCTGATAAAAAAATCACCGACCGAAAAATATTTTGCAGTACGATACTAAAAAATTCTAGAACTACTAATTTTCAATATTGGTCAATAACCGATTACTAAAAAGCAAATCGCAAAAGCACTATCAAATGTCTACACATTTTGTTATTTACTACAAATATTAACAATAACATACGTAAAATCATACATTTTTTACTAAACGTCCATAATATTGTGTTGATTACAAATTTCCTATGTTTGTTGGTATCTTAAAATGAGCCCGAAAGTGTTTACTTGCTTTTAGCAAAATGCCAACAGAAATAACTTTGCAAAATCTGTTCATTTTTAACTCAACATTGTCCAAAACTGAGGAAGATGTGAGTTAAAGCTGTTATTTTATATATCTAGCTCATTTAGACGTGTTACCTATGTTTTTCTCTAGAAACTACAGATATTTGCTTATCCATTTATTGGAGTTCGAATCCGGTTATTTTATTAAATAGTGTATTTTATTTAGGTGCTGAACATTTGTATAGATATTAAAAACTTATGTATGTATGTATAGAACAAAATAAGAGAATTTAAATATTATAATATGGTGTTTTTACTACAATATTTGAAAATTTATTGTTAAATTAAATTTGTGTTTATTGAATTATTTTATTACAGGGAGCAAATAAAATATTATTCTATTATCCACCACAGGAAGAGGAAAATAAAAAAATACTGAATATTGGCCATATTGAAGCTGTAATTTGTTTTATGAGGTATGTTTGTATAATGCACCTAAGCTATCGTGATAATGTTTTAAATATTATGTTAAAAACATTTTTAGGAATTTCAATGATCGACAGCCGTGTGAATCATTACGCACCAAAAAGTCCTTGCAAGTGTTGTACAACCCTGAACCAAATTTTTGGATAGTAATTGTAATGATATATTTTTTTCATTAACATTGAATGTGTAACTAGTTTTTATCGTTACTTTTAATAATAATACTGAATTTGATTTAGTAGACTTTGTCGGCAACATGCAAGTCAAAACCAAAATCTCCCGAATCCACAGATGAACCAGAATACTGTACTCATAACTTACAAGAACCGATATATATGGCTATTTTGAAACACTGGTACCATACGTTTCAAATGGTCGTAGGTTCGATGACTGACGTGATGAACGAAATCAGTCCAGACCACCTTAGGCTCATGCTTGATCAATTTTATAATAAGGTAATTAGCAGTGACGTGACAAACTCTTGGATTCCGAATCAATTTATACTAAACTTTGGAAATTAGGTTAGAAAACCAAACTAGACACTGTAGTATTTTTTAATGTTTTGGTTTGATTGACTGTCTTGGAAAAACATAGATAAAAATAATGTATCCTTTGTTGTGATACCTGCACATTATTCTATCAAAACATATAATATAATACCAATACTTCATATAATTTCATATACAGTAAAATATTTAAACTACTATATATTTGAATATTTTTTTTTTTTCAACTAAATGGTCTGTTGTTTACCAGTTTTTGACTTGGGTTATTCCACGTGAAATGAACACGACAAATCCACTCTGGATTTAAATGTGCCTCAAATTTCGAAATACTTATAAAAATATATATTTCACTAACAATGTGAATTTTTTCGTTTTTTTTAAGCAAAGTTTAATTATAAATTACATTAAAACTATTTTTAATTATATCTGCAAAATTTTGATGTAGGTAATTTTTTTTTTATAAAAGTTAGAAAAAATATAAAATTTAGTAAGTAAATTATACAATTTTATCAGTTCATGTTTCTTTATTTTAAAAGTTAGAATTACCATTTCCCCCACCTCTAAAAAGGTTCGAGTTAAATAAATATTTTAATAAAAGTTCAATAGTGTGCTTATACACATGGGCTAACTGATTATAATATTAACAAATTTTATTTTTAAATTAATAAAAAGCTTATTTTTATTTAAATTCATAACTGGTTTTCTTAATTTGGGATTATGTCAGTTCACTACTAATATATTGAAAAATCTCACTTGTTATATAAGGAATTACTCAAAATAATAATGATAGTAATTTATTATTTTAAGTACATTTACATACATAGATATTTTGAAATATTTTAACATTGAAATACTGACCATCATTGAAAATATATTTGTTTCAGTATTTACAAAGTACCAACATATCAACGTACACGTTCATGGACATGTTTCAAGGAATTAGTTTTTTACCGTTAGACAACAACGTTCACCTATATGCTCAGAGTTTTTTAAATTCGATTGAAAATTCTTTTCAACAAGTCAAGTATACTATGCTGTTGTATAACGACTCGCTTGTTTGGTAAATATAAAATTGTTGACATCTTATATTGGTTGGGTAGCACTTGTTTTATTTTATACAAATGACAAATTATATTTGAAATTAACAGGAGCGGTTTAAGCAAACGGCAAACTCAACTGATTTACTCGTATATAATTATGTGGGTTTTGCCGGATATGGCCCGCGACGAGAACGTGATCAAAGGAAATTCTCTTAAGAAATGTTTGCCCAGTCAATTAGTCGGGAGGTATGGCCGCTGTGTGATTGATTTGATTAACAATGTAATTAACATATTTGTTTTTAATTTTTTCAGGTTTATAACAAATACGTGGGCAATAAAAACAGACAGCTGGAACTCCGACCTTGGTAAAGTTCCTGTTTTGTGGCTAAACAACGAAAGTAATGGGACGTTTGAAAGTTATAGACTGTTAGTTTACAAAGCTCATTACTCAGTCGTTTGTATGTTCGCCAAAAGTACGTCACCTGCCGTTTGTCAATATTATTTCCGACTGTTTTATTTATTGCTGACGTTAATTTTTGTAATTTTTTTGATTTCAGTGGATTGTTCGCTGACGACTGATTTGTACAATAAACTCGATCAGTTTCTCAGTACCAAATTACATTTGCTATCGGAAAAGATGAAGAATGCGGTCGAGAAAAATATGGCGTTAAAAATGTACGCCGAGAGACCAGCCAAATTTATATACTTTAACGCTATGAATTTAGCAATAAAAAATTCGTTAAAACTATCCAATACATCACCTTCTGCCAAATCGTCGGATTTCAGTCTAAGTCCTGAAACGCTAAGAATTCTAGTCGATATCAGTACCCAAAATTCAAAGTGTGTTAAATCTCTATACTGTTAATTATTTATATATAAATATTTATAATATGTTCTGTTATTATTGGTTTTTTTTTAATTCATTAAAGTATGCACCCGACGTGTTCTACAATGATAAAAACATCAAATGACAATTGGGTGGCCGGTCGTTTGTGCAATTCAAGGGAAATATATATCGTACTGAATCAGAAATTAACGAAACTTTATGACGTCGACTGTTAGTAAATATGACCAGTTGTTTTGTGCTGAATTTGTTACGTTGACGAGCGTGAAGGGTTAAAATTATTTTTTACATTATTTTGCAGCCGAAATTCAAAATCTATGTGCACAGGAACTCGGTACGATATTCTTTTACGACTAAGAAACGGGACTAATAACGCTACAACTACTACCTCGAATAAACGCAATTATTTCTACAGGAACATTTATGTTAAAATATATTATTGATAACGGTGTAATATTATAGTATTTTAATCGTATTGTAATAATAAATAATGTCAATAAAATGTTAATCGTGTAGCCGTCGAGCTGGTGTTTGTATACAATATATACTATGTTAGTCAGGGGCGTTTGGTATACTACATGTCCTTCATAGAGCGAACAGAGTGTAGTTAGTGTATGTTATTTAGTGTATTATTATTAATAACCAGACCGTCGAATTTTGTCGTATGAGTTTCGATCGAAGATCTGCTAGTGAAAAACCGTAGTTTCCTCTAATCGGCAATTGACTTTTGACTGTTGCGGGTAGCGAATTACGTTAGAAACCGTCCCCCTGGAGTTTGTTGGCAGGGATGATTGGTAATTTCTCACTGTGCTGGCTGAGTTTGAACTGTATTTACTGGTTTCGACTGTGTGTGCTCCAGCGAATGTAAAGAGCAACGCCTGGTAAAATTTGTGATATTTGTACCTACTAACATGTATTATTATTTTGTTCATTCTTATTACAGCGCGCTTTCAGTGGACTCGAAGACGGATTCTATACAATATTATTCTGTTTGGCAAATGTGCGGCTTCCGAATTGGTTGTTTTGTTCAAACAACCGTTTCAATCGTGTACAGGTAATGTGTGTAAACAAGTAAATCGTTATTGGGGTAACAAAAAAAACCACCCCCCATTTGTTTGGTTAACATTGTACAAGCGAAGAAACGGACGGATTGATTTCGGTTATTTGTCCGGACACTCAAACGGTCACAATTCGCGCACATCGACTGTCGGAAAGTGTTTGTAGGCAAAAAGAAAACGCGGTTCCTTATTTATAAGAGTTTCGATACACAGATCTTATTAGGGCGAGTGTGGTGCAAGTATAGAAAAAAAAAACCGGTGCTTTTACCAGATTGAAATCGGACGCGAAAACCCTATTTTTCATTTCGGCGGACCTTCGCAATTAACATAATATACGGCCTAGGTAAGTGGATTTTTGTAGCGTGGGCGCAATAATATTATTTATGTATATTTTTAGGTGTATATTATACAAATATTTTACCGTGTTCACGTTTTTACAGATACCATAGATTTACACTACGCAATACTTAACTGATAAAATTGAAAAGAAAAAAAAAGTAGCAATAGTCGACAGTTGTTGTTACAGATGAAAAAATACTTAACTTTCGAAATCAAGTAGTATGGTAAATTTAAATTTAAAAAAAAAAAACAAAATGCTACACGCTAATAGATAGATTTGTAGTTAGGATAGTCTGTGTGTGTTGCGTTTTATAATTATTGCTTGATTTTCAATTTTCTCTTAAACTATAGGAGATAAAAATGTATACATACATTTTTCTATAAAAATTGATTCTGAGCTCATTAGAAAGCGTTTGCCAAGAGTAGAGAAAATATGAATTAATAAAAATTGTTCATTTTAGCTATTTTTTTTTGCTTTCCACTTATGCAGATCTCCGAATCCGATGAACAGATTTTGTTGCTAGAATCACCTTGGCATGTAGAAGCTCATTGTAAGGTTTTAACTTTATCTGATATAGTTAATTGACTACAGAGCTTTAAAGTTGTACATCATAAATAAATAAAAAGTTGAAACATACTCGTATGTATAGACATATTTTTTGTACAATTTTTTTGACATAATTCTCTAAAAATAAAAAAATCAAGAAAGTCTACATGCCGACCATGACTTAGAAAGTGTTTTTTAGACAACTAATGTTTTTTTTTTTGGTATTTTTATACTTTCAAATAAATTTGTTTTCATTGGATCTTTAAATTTTTCAATTTTGTGTGTAACCGCAAATTGAAAAAAAAAGAGTTGGGTTTGCTAGCAACTTTGCTAGTTCTGAAAGTCTAATTAAAATATTTAATCTATGATTTTCATATCTATATGCCATTGTACTTAAAAACACTGCCAAATCAATACTTTCACAAATTTGCAAATAAACTAAATATACATAACGGTCAAACGAAAAGAAATCTTAAATATTATTGTTGTTACAACGCAAAAATAGTGTCTAAATTGTGTAGTTTACGGTGATTGTTGTTTTTAATTTGTATTACAATTTAAAACATAAACAGTTAATAGGCAGTATAAATATATGATTCCAATTACAATGAAATCACAATATATTATATTTTTTAATATATGTAATATATATCTGTATAAGTAGCTGGTAGTTATTTATATGTTTGAGTAAAACGGCGGCTGCTATAGGCAATTTAGGTACACACATGTTAAGATGAACTGTAGATGTTGAATAAATGTATTAATCTAAGTTTAAACTGGTAAAATTATTTTTCATGAACCAGTTAGTTACTTATTTAAAAAATATAGTGTATACCCGTTTACTAGCACAACATTTGATTGCACTGTTTTAATTTATAGCCCTTTAAAAATCAATTAAAGGCCTTTAATAATTTCCAAAAGAATTTCAACTCTTACCCAAAAAATAAAAAAATAACGATTTTTATATTCTCATAATAAAACTTCCGGGGGTTGATAATTGGCTTTTCGGTTAGAAGGAAGGTAACCCATGTAAGATATTTTATTTATGCTTAAATAATACAAGGATTTTGAAAACAACAAAGTGTCTTAGATTATTTACATGTTATAATATTGGCTGTTTGGTTTTAATCACATTTTATTTATTAAATGTAACGTTTATTTGTAGTAAAATTATTGTTAGGTAATCAAAATAATAATCATTATTTATAATACCTGAAACGGATTGCAATACGGATGGATTTTTTCCCGCAGTATTAATTTAAAGCTAAAACAATTATTTATGTTTATTAGTAGAGTCACGACTATTATTAATGATTTTATCAGACCACCGCAGTGCCCTTGGAAATATATGCGTTTGACTGGGACTATGATGGTTTTAGAATGACCTATAATCGAATTAAAAGATTTAGAACGTTTTAGAGGAAAAGACACATTATCTTTTTTAAAAAAAAAGATAATATGCTATTGCCTTGAAAATGCTGCCCTCTTTCATTTTCAGTAGTCAGATCTTCACGGTAGAAAATCGACGGCATAACGTCTTCTCAACATACTGAACGCATCTTTTAACCCTTGTCTTGTGTTTGGCCTCGGATTTTGGATAGAAACGACATGTATAATAAAGTAGCCATTAGGAAACAATGACTGTGCTCGACTAAATATAAAGAGATTGATTGCCCGTAGTGTATGAAATCCACAGTGATTTTCCATTTTCATAAAAATAATAATATGTTGTTTGGTGTATTGTTTTCTGATTCAGGTCGTTATTAATATGGTGTCTACCCTTTCTCGGTCTTTATCAAAAGAAATCGGTCAAATATGAATCTGGACCGTCTATGTATGTATATATATATATATATATATATATATATCTAATGCTACATTCCCCACTAGGGACTATTATTTTAATCGAGGGCGAGCTTTTCAAAGTTGACGTGACATTATCTCTACGGGATTGTTTCCTTTGCCAAGTACTCGTGTGTACTTTAACGGAGAGAGGCCAGAGTCCAAGATGAATAAAACATATTATTATTTTGGACATAATCTCTGGACCCCGGTGTGTATTAGCAGTTCACCACGCGATACTTCATTATCGTGCTCACCCTCATCATTTCCGTGACTTCACAACAATGACCATATAATGACGACGGCGATGAAAATCTTGTGGAAGTCGGTGGTTTATTTGTGCTGTTCTATTTCGGACCGAGCCAGCCTCTAAGTATAGCTGGTATATCTGGTTGATGTAATTTCATTTGTCAACGGTGTGTTAGGCCTCGGATCGTCGTGTTCCTTTTTCCTATAGGGAGTAAACAAGTAACGGATTTCACATGTATATTTTTAGAGTAGGTACGTCGAACTAGTCTGCTATTACTCTATTTGACCAACACAATATACGGTGGGTATACCTTCTCTAGAAACCGCACAAACCTATTACAAAGGTATATGTTTATAGTCACAAAGTGGAAACCAAATAAATAAAGCGAGGCCGAGAAAAAGGACCGAAACGTTGACGTGAGGGTTACAAAAATTATTTAAAAATCTTAGGAGAATGGAAAAATGATAGCATCGCTTTGAGAAGTCTGGCGATCATAGCATACAGTTCTGATAGTGTCCATTAAAAATACCTAAGTTTAGCTTTGATGAGTTGCTGCGAAAAAGTATCAGAAGTTATCGCAACAAGTAGAAATTCAAAAAAGTTCACTCGCCACTCCTCGAAAAAGGAAAGAAATAATTGCAAGTATACAATAGTTAAGTGCCATACAAAATGTGCTGCTTTTAGCGCAAATTAGTATAAATTAATTTTTAAAAAATATTTACTAGAACAAAAAATATTTAATTTGTCTTACACTTGAGGGACACCCTGTATGCCACTCCGATGCGATTCCGTGGTTTCAACAAAGTCCTAGTCGCTTTTTTCACCTTTATATTTCCTGACTTCCTTGTCTATTTCCGTTTCTTATCTTTTGTCCCGTTTTGACTGTCTATTTTTTATACTCTCTTAAAAAACCATTATTGTAAACCCAAAATACATTATCAGCAAACGTCAAAACCAAAAATTGTTTTTTTTTAAATATATTAACAGATTTACATCTTGTGTAACAAATAGTTAACCTTTTCATAATTCATACATAGATAGTTATTTTTTTTATTAGTAATTTTTTAATTTATACACTTTTTATGTTTTGATCCACGATGACTGATGAGTAACAATAACTTAATGAATACAAGCACTTTTGTTGCTTTACTAATCTCTCTGACTTGTTTTGTTTTGTAATCATGGGAATTACTGTACCCAGTCTAGCTTTCAAAGATCCAGCAGTCACTTGTATTTATTAAGTTTTGTTATTTATCCGTTCTCAGTGTTTATATTATACAAATATAATGCTATTTAAGTGTTTCAAGTATTTAGCAATTATCTTTTTTTTTTTGTCAGTCAATCTGTCTTTTAGGCGTCGAGCATTAATATTGTAATAAAGATGTTGTACTATAACATAATATAATTATGTAATTCTATATGACACAATTACAGCTATAATTAGGGTTTACTATAATCTGCTCATTAATAAAGTATGACAACTGAGACTTTTTTTATAATCAAGGAAAAATTAGTGAACTAAACTGAACTATAAGTATTATTATGTACACTCTTGGAGAATTTAATTTGGATACATTTTATTCTTATTCTTGAATCCTGGGTATATTATGGTAATTTTAATCACAAATTAAATTAGATATGAAGTATTAAAATTTGTTTTACATCGTCGACATAATGTATATATTAGCTGTCGAAAAGTTTAAGATATTATTTTTCTTATCAAAGTAAATAATATACTTACCTCTGTATACTGTAGGTAGTCTCTTCCTCATGAATCCTGATGGTAGGTAATATTAAAACTTTGCACATTTCAAAGAGAACGTTTTAAACGTGTATGTGGATAGTTTATACTTCCCTGCGGTATTTAGACATATTTTAAATCAGATATCCTTAGTGTTTTATGTAAAAAATAATAGAATATTTGATGCATAAAGCAACAAAGATGAGTGATAAAGTGCTCGTGGCAAAAATGAAAGAATTTCTAATGAGAGTTGATGTTTATCAAAATACAATGGTTAACATTTTAGTCTCATACTTGTTTTCTTCAGTAGTTCAAGGCACATATGTTTGCGGATGATGTAGTGGGGCGAGTAGAGTTGGAGGTAAATCGAAAAAGTTTGTGAGACAATGATGAAGAGAGAATTTTATTAGAAAATCTAATTTATATAGGATAAGGCGAGGAAGGTGAAGGAATAGAACCGCAAGTACGAGTTTTAACCTGCAAACACAATTTCGAAAATGTGTCGTTATTTTATGGGCAGTTTCTGGATAATATTACCTTTTAAATAAGTATTATTGGAAATCGCCTTAAAGTTTAAGAAATTGTTTTTTTTTTAAGTTACATAGGATACAGAATTATAGATAGTGGTCATTAAACATATGACAATATTATTAAGATGTTAACGATAAATCCACTTGCTTTATATTTTTAATCGTTTGCATTAAACAATAAATCATTATTGTGGATGTTCTATCATTCTTTTAAATATTATAAAGAAAGGTTTTTTTTTTAAATATTGTTAGTACCTAATTAAATAGTACAAGACACGATTCAAAAATTAATAATAAATTATTTTTTTTTAAAGTTTATCTATTATTGATAATCATTTTTTAAATTAAAATGTTGATATTTTCACGTTGCGTTATTCAATTTATTAATTTTTTCAATTCAAGTATTCTGAACTTCTAATCTGTGGTTACAAAAAACAACACAAGTCAAGTATATTATTATGTTTTATTATTGAAATATGACCAAAGATAGACTGTTTACAAGGAGATCCTAAAAATTACACGAAAGTTTAACGATAAGTTTAATTTAAAGTTAAATTTTTTTTTGAGGTCTGTGATATTTTAGTTTTCTGACAGTCAACTGAGACCTGGTCGACTATATTCCATAATAGGATATCAAATAGAGGCACAATTTCGGCCATCTCAGTGTATAATATATTTTAGTAATAATTATTATTTATATGGTATTTATAATGTTTTTGACTTTTAGGTAACATAAAAATGAAAATAAAAAAATAAACATTTTCTTCCGGTTGTGCGCATGCTGTTTGTTAAGCATACGGTTAAATGACCCTCCCCTTTGCCGTTCCGTGTACATCACCGGGCAACTACTATGAGCAATATAACACTGGTCGGAAGGGCTTTAACGGTTTTTGGCCCATTTGAGTTTGGCAGTGTATTTAGCGCGCCGGTTACAGCTACACCTACTGCATTGGCGGCACGCGCCATGCATTCCTCGGTCGTCACATCTCGCAAACCAGACCGCCAACAGGTAAAATATATTGTACAATTATTTTCCTATTATATTATATTTTTATCTTATTTTATATTTTACCATCGAAAAGCAAAAAAAAAAAAAAACCACAATACAATAGTTTTTTCACATACCTACCTCACCGCTCAACGACTAGAGTGAATAAAAAATATTAACATATATTATTTCAATTAAAAATATTACACTCTTAAGCCAATATATTTATTTGCACTTTTTAATTTTTTTTTCTATAACGTTTAATAATAAGACTACAAAAACAGATTACTCGCCTAGTTGTGCTTTTTTTTTTTACATGTTCTCATTATTCTTAAGTTTGTTCTAAAATCTAGTAGTTTTCGATAAATGTACATCATAATATATTAAGCGGGTAAATTTTATATAACGAATTTAATTAATTGACTATTGTTTCGATTGAACCGTATCAATTATTATAACATAATGATGTGTCGAAACGTTGCATGAAAAACGTGTGTTTATTTAGTAGTATTTAAAAAAAAAAAATAATGACCAATAAAACCTGGTAATAATGTGGTCGTCAACAGCTGTTATTGAATGTAGTCTGCTGTTTTTTTTTTTGACCGATTAAAGTTTAAAATATTAATAAAAAAATTTATATAAAACCTGATTACCTATATTAAAATAATAATTAAAAATAATCTACTGTAATACTAGTATGTAGTAAAGTCGTTGTGTATTTGCACAAGTGTCAATTGTTTATGCAATCAATATACGCTCTAGGTGCACGTTTTACACGATTCTTTTTTTATCATATCTAATTTAACCGAATATATTATTTATGTTAGCTTTAGCCAACAGGTGTATATTTTATAGGTTAAGGTGTACCTATATATTTTGTTAATTAGACTAATTATTTGGATAGTTATATAAGTCTATGTACCGTGGTCTCCGCAGGACTAGCAATAGTTATAAAGGTTATAGGACTTCTGTTAAATTGTACACTTACCTATTATGTTTTGAATTTAAAAAACCCAAAAGGCCGCTACATGTTTTTGTACAAAAATAGCACCTTTGTGCATTGTAAAAAATGAAAATAAAGTTTACAAATTTCAGCCTAATGTTCAGGTCTATACCTGAAAATCGTGTGCCTTAATAAATGCTAGTGTAGAGGCCTTTTATGTCGTTACTGCTGTAATAACTAAAATATGAACGTTGTCGGTTTACATGGCAGATTTGTTAAAACTGATACAGAATGAACAATTAACTAATACCACTAACAGCGTTACAATGGTATGGAATACATATTTATTAATTACATTAAGGTAGGGAGGCGTTTGCAAGTCGTATAATAATAACTAGGCCAAAGCAAATAAATTGTTTCATTTTTATTATTGCTTTTTTCCCCAACAAATATTCTGTTATTATTACTATAGTCTAGTGTTTTTAGGTGTGTCGGCAGCTTAAGTATAATGGAACATAATGATTATAATTATATAAGCTGAATGTAAATTTAATTACAACAACTAGAAAAACTAAAAAGGTAGACCTATAAAACCATATAACAAATAAAATAAATTTAAATGGATTTAGGACTTGCTTTTTCTGGCACCTTTTTTCTTCTTCTCATATTCAATCGTTAATATCCTAAAGACAACGGTGGTTAATGCGGTTTGTAAAGTGTCGCTTAAAAAATACAGTATCCAAATTAAATAAATTCAAATTACTATGCGGTGGGTAAAGTCACAAGTGTTTATACAGCCGTAATGGCAAAATCGGGATGCTCTTTAAGGGGTTGATCCGTTCAAATGTGTATTTTTAGTAGGAAAAATGACGAGACAAGAGCCCAATGTGTTCTCAACCTAATAGCCGATGGGTTTTGTGTTGACACAATATGGTCAAATCCGCATTGAATTAGAGTATATAAATAGGTTGGTCTATGTTTTTATTTTTTCTGACACTTAAAGGCCAATAATGGTAGAATAAAAATAAGGCTTAGCCATATATTTATTTTTATTTTTTACTTTCAGAAACAATGTGATTTTGCATTCGAACTCAGGAATTTGTATTTGTTTATCTAGTCTTCGAAATAAATATAAAACACATGTTTTAAGGTCGGTTATTCCAAACCGAATGTAGTCTTCAAAATTCTATATGTCGTACCTAAATAACTTTTCACCTCTCTAAATATTAACGACCTGTATTTTCCAGAGAGCCATAATTCAAGTTAACTAATTAACTGGACTTTCACAATATAATACTTAATGACGCGTTAATGATTACTTTAAATGTTTATTAAACTGTCCTGTGCAATTCCCATGTATTACACGTTACATAAATAACAACTTTTCTGTGTGGTTTTGATTAGTGGCCTGCGAATAATCGTTTTAGAAGAAATATTATACGGAATTTCTTTTATCGCCAAAATTCAAGACGCTCCTATATTGGCATTGCCGTCAAAAGAAAAAAGCAATCCTCTTTTAAAGTTCACGTGTACTCGGTATAAGAGTAGATTAGATTTTTTTTTTTTTTGGTAGATGTGTTACACTTACAAAAATATATATGTATCATATAATAATAATATGATACCTTAACACCACATACCATATAAAGATATACCTTTTTTTTCTTTTAATGTCTTTATTTTTAATATATTATTCATAGGTACCTACGGAAAATATAATCTCCGTTAGCAATTTTATCATTGCATCGGTGTCGTATATTATACTATTACAATATAACAGCTGATAGCTTAAATTTAATTGAATTCTGTCTATATAATATGTCTATGAATTATAAGATTTATTTTAAAGCCTTTTTATGGAGCTCGGGTTGTATTCACTTGCCAGTAACAAATAATAATTCCATCCGATTGTGGATTGGTTAAGATACTTGAGGGGCTATCAATATAGTGTATTTTGCGAGGAACAATAAACGATGTAAACCAAAACGTTCTCAGCAGATTGAACGGCGTTCACGTTTAATAATATCATAATATTATGAAGTTTACTTGCCCGTTTAAAGACAGCGTGTTTCGATGGGGTTGGCGAAGGGCAATTTGCAAACGTAACGACAACCATTGACAGATACATTTTTGCTGTACCGTACAACGGTAGCATCGACTAAAGAAATATTGCCCAAAAGAAAATAAATCAAATCTGACATGACGAAAATGTTTTGAAACGTCAACGTTTATGTATGTATAGTGAGAGAGAGAGTGGAGTGAAAGAGAAATAATATGACAGTATTACTATTCATACGTAGCTATGGATTAAAAAATCCATAAAAAAAAATGTATATTCCTACGGTAGTAAAACCTAGTTATTGACACCATAGATATGTAATATATATATATATACCTCTTACGAGATTAATATGCTTATTATTATTATAGCTCTTCGGAGAAGCATATTACTTTTGTCGTCAACTGAATAATAATAATATAGTCTTTCGTGTCTTCTATTCATTGTCATTGTGTGCAGGAGAGATTTTTTTTAAATTGCTTTTCTCCCTATTTAATTTGGGGGCGGGGGGAGGAGGGTTGTTCTTTTAAAATTTCGCTTTGCATTGTGCGTTAGTACCTCTCACCACTATGATGGTTAAATTCATGACAATATCAAGAAAAATTATGTTAGTACATTAAATTTAGTTTGTTCCTTCAGTTGTTTTATTTTAAAAAACAAAACATATCTTGGTAAAATTTGATAGTTTTCATATTTTGGGAGTAAAAAGTTAATAATGTGTATTACGAATAAAATTAAAAATGAAATAAAATTTTTTATAGAAAAAAATTATTATTAAAAAAAAAATAGAAATAAATCTCTTTTATGATAACAATTTCAGAATTTTAAAACTGGTCCAAAATCGGGGTTTCTTGGAAAATAACACAAAATACCTCTATTTTTGAGCAATTAAATATCAATAAGCTATTGGATTAAATAACGTCTGTTTATCCATATCGTTATGATATTATGTTAACTATGATCGGTCATTACGAACAAGGCATTATGGTATGTCCATAATGCCCGCCGAATGAAGCTGGAGATGATTTACCGTGAAATTAATTGTTCGGTATTTCATTGAAATGCAATCAGTGAACCGAAACATACGCTTTGGTGCATGAAATGCCCGAAACAAACCCTGGCCAGACCAATGAGAGTGCTCGGTTGTTTTAAATTTGATAAATCAATCGCTTCTATAATTGACTATGTAAACATTTAAAATAAAAAATATGAACAATTATTGAATACTGTTGAAAAAAAAAATATATATTTGAATGAAAAACACGATTGAGCCGTATACTTAAACTTGCATTGAGTACTAATTGACTACATTGGGAAAACTTGTAAATTCAGGTTCATTAGATCCAGGTTATAACATTAAGTATAGTGTACTATATCTTTACAGTAAAAGTTATATTATCATATTACATAGAGTTAGTATATTAATGTAATTAAGTAATTTTTGGTTAACACAAATTTGCATCCGCACTGTTTTTTTTTGAAAATGCTCTTTATTATTTTCACACTTGTTATCAAATTCTGTCAAACCATCGTTTTTGACTACTCTGTCTTGCAATTTGTTTGGGTACTTTTTATTATAATATCGCATTCAATGGATTTTTCACGTTGTACAAAACGTTTCAAAGGAGAACAATAATAATTTTAAAACGTGTAGTGTTGGGTACCTAGTGGGTGATGATTTATTATATAATATTAGCTCTAAACATTCTACGAGATTGTTCACTATATTATTATATAATATTAAACTTGTATAGGTTTTTTTTTTCATTTCACATGAATCGTGTCCATTTATAAAATGTATAGACAATGTCGGATGTACGTGAAAACTAAACGTTTTTTTTTTTTTTAATTTCGACTTTAGATAAAAACACATTTCTCGAAATGTCTTCGCGGTCCAACCTATAATTGTGTAATACACATACAACACGAGTACAGAGAGATAGCCGTATCGCAATGAAAATGCAAACGAGCACAAATGCAAAATCAATAGCTTGTAGTATTTCCAAACCAAAGTACATACCAGTTTTTTGTGTACCGAAACTTTATGACATTTTGTGCGTGCATAAGGCGTTGTCAAAGATGTAAAGTAATTTAGCGCCCCGTTTTGTTCACCCAACACACACGCCGAATGCAGTGCTCGGTGGTCGGTATAAGTGTACTTCAATCAGCACCTATCGGCTCGATAAGTGGCATTTTTTTTTCACAGTAAAAGGGGAACGGAAAGGGTTATTTATCGAGGGGTTAAACGTTGGCAATATTTGACAAAAATCTATATCCAGTAGCCATCTCGAGCGTGCTAACTATTTTTTTTTTAATTGGCAAATTAATGTATTATGCAACAAGTATGAGCAGATTGTATAATTACCCATTCTGGTGAAAATAAGAACTTTGGTTCCTTCTCTTCGACTTGAAGAGCAAAAGGTCACGTCACCTTACCGACGCCGACGATTGGGTGCCGTCAGTCGCTGGCAGTGCACGTGACTGACGGCATACGACAATAATGTTTTGACTTTGATTAAATATGTATATTATAATATGGCATTAATATTATGTACCCCGTGTACTTGGGGTGTGTTCCGTTTATCGGCGAAATGTTGGTCAATCCTTCATTATGCGATACGGACTGCAGACCTATTTTTTATTTATTTATTTTACCCGTCAAAATTGCCCGCCAATAAACTTCAGACGGCCGCACAGTCCGTTTGCAGTTGATGTCAATAGCATAAAAAAAAAAATGAAAACCAAACGCATAGACATACAAACATTAATCAAACCCTGTGATTTATTATCATTCTCGACGAAGACCGAAAAGAAAACGACTTGGTTTTTAAATAATAATCGCGGTAGCTACAAATTCCATTTCATTTCCTTATACAATTATTCATTAGACCTACACAACGTGCAAATACCCGCAATAAGTGTCTTAAAGCATGCCGCCCGAGCAGTATGAATCCGGCAATTATTGTCTTGGAATTTTTGTGAAATCACACCCGTGCTTAAGCGATAACCAGGAGCGACATTTCAGTTTTTCTTAGGGTGGGACAAAATTTGTATCGGCCCTATGTTCATTTACAAATATAAATATTTTTTCCAAAACACTTAGATACAAAACAGTAATAACACAAATATTATAAACCTTCATACTTATTATACTTGGTAATCAGTTCAGGCGGTTCATTATTAGTAAAGGTAGGTAATTGTACAAAAACAGATAATTTACGGCCTTACGTTCTGAAAATTTGACCAGCCCATAAAAATCAAGGGTGGGACAAATGCCTCCCCCCCCCCTAATGACGCCTCTGGTGATAACCCGATCCACTAGTTGATAGCTTAATAATTGATTGAAAAATACTAAAAAAATACCTAAGATCACCCGGCGGGTAGCTTTCTGCTAAGAGCTATACAAAAACTAAATAATATATACAAGAAATCAATTTTTTTTTTTTAATAAGTGTAATATTTTATCATGTTCCAGTGACATGATAATGGGTGTGGGTGAGGGCGATATGGAAGGCGGCAACGATGAGTGCGTTGAGGATGGCGACGAAGAGGTAGCCGCCATGATGGGACCACCTGTGTCGTTTGGATGTTCCAACAAGTGCAAGAAAGTAAGAAGACCGTTGCCACCCCGCGAGACGTGGAAGAAGAAAATCGAATTCCTGCTGGCTGTTGTTGGCTTTGCCGTCGATCTGGGGAACGTATGGAGATTCCCGTACATTTGCTACCAGAACGGAGGAGGTGAGTATTTTTGTTATTTCGAAGTTGACGGGTTCATCAACTAATAGTAGTCCTGTATACAAACGAGGGGTAATGCTCTAGTCAAACGGGTCGGTAATCGGTTAGGTAAAAATATATAGACCTGTAACATCATGTAATACAATGTCTTATATGCTCAGAAACGAAGTTAACAAGAAGGCAATAAATGTCTATAAATGTCAGCATACTCTATTTAATGTTTTATTTAAAAAGTATCATATTAGAGTAAGTAGTAAAAACAAAAAAGTTTTCACTATTTCTAAACGTTTTCTTTATGTGGCCACACGAAGACCTCTTGCAACCAGTCGACTCAAATAAAAAATATGAAATAGTTAATGCATATTATGATGTACAAATGTTTGATATTTGGATTACATTTTGGCCGTTCGAAAAGGAAACCAACTTATGATACTAACATTTCAACTGCGAGCTGTCCATTAAACTCATTAATGTTTAAAATTACCGCCAATTCCAAAATCTCCAACAATTACAAACTTACTCTGCGTTGGTTTATTTTGACAGACATGTCTAATTGGTAATAATTATGGTACGTCAGAATAAACCAAAAGTGTCACAAAGATTTCACGACCAATAAATGGAAAGTCCATAGAAATTATCCTTCTAAAATCCAAAAAGATTTTGGTTTAACGTGCCTTTTGTTTCCTATATTTAACGTTTAACACTCATTTTTTTGGAGAATAATTACAATTTTATAGTTTTTCTTTTTGGTAATATTTGTATTAGTTTTATTAATGTCGGTACAACATTATAAAAAATTACCTATATAATACAATATAATCACATTATCTGAACAATTTGCTGACATTTTCGACTGGTCGCTAACTAGTTTTGAAAAATGATTTATCAAGTTATAAAATGTTAAAATATAGGAAAGGTGGAAAAAATGACTGTCTTACGTTAAACGGATCGCCCTGTACTTGTTCTTTAAATCGCTTTTGATTACAACAATAAAGTACTTTGTATATTTTGACAGCAGTAAAAAATGCAGAACAATTTTTTAAAAAAATGTCCATTTTTTTAGGCGCATTTCTTATACCGTACGTGGTCATGTTGGTGTTTGGCGGGTTGCCTTTGTTCTACATGGAATTGGCATTGGGGCAGTTCCATCGATGCGGATGCCTTACGGTTTGGAAGAAGATCTGCCCGGCGTTGAAAGGTAACGTAAACGCTTGTATTAAACTAACTTTTGGAATGCTTTGACCCTTATAAACTATATACAGGAAGAAGGAATGTACCTAAACTATTTGAATTAAACTAACCGATTTCCGCGGACGAAATAGTAACGAGACTTGGGCACGGCGTGACGTCTTGACGGGATAAAAAAAATAAAAAATAAAAAGGTTCGATAACTTCAAGAACACTCGAGACGGATATCCGGTCTTTTATGATAATCGGTGGCTATTATCGGACTGGAATTTTTTTATTTATTTGTATTCTTCTCCTGTTGCCGCCGTCGCCGCATTAACAGTAACAGCGTCTAAAATAAAAATAAAAGTACTTAGAAAATTAAAAAAAAAATCTATTCCGATAAAGGATATACTAAACAATAGATTCCTAAGGGTATTTTCGAGTCCTCGACAAACGTCGTTCGGGCCTTTGAATTATACATTAAATGCAAAACGGAGAACAAACAAACAAACAAAAATATATAACTTTGGCGGCGCTTACTTTTTATATTTAAAACGGCCTCTGGAAATCATTGCGGCCAATTGCGAGTTGATCAAACGTGGTCGTTTTTGTTGTTTGACTTTGCTCTCCCTTCTTCTTATTCTTTTGTCCGCCCGATTTACCTTAAAGCTTTTTAAACGGTGTGTTTAAACAGCGACGTGGAAAAAAATCTTACTATCTTAAAATAAGACAGTAAGTATTCGATGGGAAATCCATGCATGTCTTTTGAGAGGATCTCAAAAGCCAACCGATATCAATTTATATATTATATAAAATATAGTAGGTAAGGCGCACAAACTGTTATTCTATACAATAATAATTGTCTTTGGATACAGTGTCTTTTGAATACAATTATTATAAGTGATCACAATCAGCAAGCACCGTGGTGGTTGAAATAATCATTTGTATTCAAATGTCTCTCCATCGAAATAATTGTACTAGCAGTATCTTTAGGGTCCTCGGGTCCTCAATTACAAAGCCGTTTAACTCGTTTATCGCTAATATGAAAACAAATAAACCGTTGCTTTTGATTAGGTACCAACGAAGTTAACAAAATATTATTTTAGTGTAGCTTTTGAAAATGTTTAGATTTTGCCATTTATCAACTATTGAAGAAAACTCAGCTAATGTAAACGTTTAATTACAGGTATTTTTCAGCTTTTTTTTCTAGTCTCTAAAAAGCTAACACACTTGAAATAGTGACTTAAGTAGCTATTTAAGTTTTTACTCGTAATGAATCTACAGGGGTACAATTTATGCAGGGAAGAAATGTCTAAGGAAAAAATGTCCTTTTACAAACATGTTTAGAGAAAATAATGTTAAGACAGTTGAACAATATGTACATTTTTTGGACGTTTTTCTTGACTTTAAAAGGGAAGGGATGACTTTTTTAAATGTTTACCTTAATAAAGTAGCAGACACAAAATAATTTTAAATCTCTGTATCTTAAAAACAATTGAATACACCCTTAGCTCCGCACCGAAGCTAAAAATAGACCATTTTTTTTATTTAATGGAATTGTTTTCCAAACAATTTTTTCGCTTGGGCCGTTGGAGACAAGGGTAGGTCTGTTTGGCGGAATGGAAGCACCGTGGGAAATTTCTTAAGCAGTTTAGTCTCTTGTAGAATGTCTAAAATTACCGAAACAACGTTTTCGTTATTAAAATTTTCATTGAGAAATAATAATTATAAAGGGGAAAATCGAATCGAGTCGTTTCTCGGTTCGATGTTCTCGTCCCGTGGCGACTTGGTACGTTGATTGTTTTCAAATTAATTTTCCCAATACTTACTTAGTAAGTATAATATAACACAAAATCTATTAGGTTGCGTGACTCGATTAAAATATGCTCGCTCGTGTTTTTTGTTGGGCGACATTCAGCAATTAAAAAAAAAAAACATTGTCAATGTTGACTTAAGCATTACTATATAAACCATTCGTCCAGCGGTTCACCCTTAAATCGGGTAATATAATATTATTATGTATAAAACATCTTTTGCGGTAAATATTTGCTAGCTTTCGTCCAAGTAGATTTTTTAGAATTTTCTTCGGTGAAAATTCGACACATTTTTTTTTTTGCTTCTAAAGCGACACGAGTGTGCCTTAATCACGTCGTTAAGGTTATTGTATTTTGTAATACACACGGTACACCGTCCACCCCCTAGCCCCAAGTCGAACGTGATGTTTCAACGATTGGGTGAACAGGTCTGATAGCGTCGAACGGCAAACGTCGCCGGCGATGACGATGTAATGATTTGGCCAATAAAGAACGGGGAAAAAAAAAGAAAGAAAATCTAAAGAGAAAAATATTATATTTGGAAATTTATTGCGAGTTTTTCGCAATAAGAATCACTGTTTTTTTTTTCGCGTCATCAGTTTTACACTGCCGCAGTCATTATATCAGCACAGAAACGGATAATAACAATAATATGTTCAGTGTCTTTTTTTTTGTTTTAAACTTAACCATTAAATTTGAAGAAGAAAAAACAGTTTTAGTCACGACGTGTCGATTTTATAATGATATAGGTTTCTTTTTTTTTTGGGGGGGGGGGGGTATAACATAAATTAATCGTTTAGTGTATTAACCGTCGCTGCCGAGGATAAAAAATATATACATTTAACAAGCGCAAAACCAACTAGTTTATCAGTTAACAAGCAAACGCTGGGGCCCAAGACGTGACTAAAATCCACCGAGTGTCAAGCCTGGACGTTGCTTTCTTGCCCTCCTTAAAAACGTCCAAAAGCCATACTTTGTTTAAATAACTTTTTTAATTGGGTTAGGCGGAACAAATAACGAGTTCAATAATATCTGTCTGTTTTGGCGATTAACTAGTAGATAGGGTGAAGAAAAAAAAAGTTGAATATAAATCTTCGAGAAATTTGCCTACGTTATATAGCCCCACTCTAGATCTACATTTAGTATTATTTTCAGACTTTAAGTCCTAAAACTACACCTAAAAAAATGAGATAAACAGAAAGTTCTACCTTCGGGGAAAGGGATTTTTTGATAGGGGCAGAGATGACTTTTAAATGTTTTTCAGATCTAGACACAAATATGAAAAATTATATACATACAATAATAAAAACAATACTTTCTCAGCTCCGCGTCGAAGCTAAAAACTATTAAGAAGTTCATTATATATACACAGGGTGATCAATCTATTGTAAGAAACTAATTTTCTTTGTAAATATGAATATTTTGAAAATTATAATTTTTCTATACTTTTAGGTACATATTTTACTATATTTTTACAATACTTAGAAAATGTTTACCTTTATCGCTTGTATGTAAAAGAAATATGGATTTAATTTTTTTCAAATGGGAACATTATATGTTTATAATTCTATAAATATGTTGACAAAAGATTTTAAAAATTGTTAGGGTGTTTAAATTGTTAATTTTCATCAATTCCTTCGGTTGCTATGACAAATAATGTTTGACGTTATTTTGATCTTTGGATCATTGGCCAGTTATCAATCAAATAAACAATAACTAAGCACCATATTTCGTTTAAAAATATTTAATTCATCGAGCGCCTTATTAAAAACATTATTGGCGGTCAGCCGGTATAGCAGCTGTCACCTTTCGGTGGCATCCAAACTAGCCCTTAAGTTGCTCGTGCAAACCCTTTTCTCATAAACTACTCGGTACAATTTTATAGGTCCAAACTTTTGTATCTATAATGCCGGAAACAAAAATATGTGTTTAACATTTGCCTTTTTAGTACTTACAAAAAAATATCCCTAACTTGTCCTCAGACGAAGTTTTCATTTAAATGAGTTGTATATATATATATACATTGTTTCTTATGACTCAGACTGGCAAACAGTTTGTAAGGCGAATATCGTTAATTATTTGATTGTGTTATTAAATTGAATTCTTAACATTCCAACTTGAAGGGAAACATACTGAATACACTACTTAATAAAGTTTCCTTGGCTTGTCGCAGTGTTTGATTGTGGAAGAAGTTGTGACAAATCGAATTGAACGTGTGAGATTTAATAAACGCAATTCAAACGGGCAACGGCCGTGTCATATTTCCCAACTTCCTGTTAGTTGTTTATCGGATTTAAATTGGCTACTACAGCTCCAGTACCAGAGGCCGTATAATATTATTATTATTATTGTATTACCGCGGGTGTTTATTTAATATTTGCACTTGCAATTAAACGTTCCATTCACGGACAAATCAGAGTCAGAGCTGTCAATACTAATAATTGTAATATTATATTTTCAATACAGTTAGGTAGGACACGGCTGTAGTAATCTTGCAGACAAATCTTGCAATCAGCCACACTTGGCGCATTTAATTGACATTAATAACGTTGGAATTAACATGGAAATTATTCGCAAATAACAACAGTACAACGCATGCCTTTTGAAGACCATGTTAGCATATTGTTGTGATAAACAAAAACATGGCATAGGATTGATTTGACGAAATTGGATTTGCTATAATTTAAAGTGCAATGTGGTTTTGCATGTAAAATAAAAACAGAATTTCAAAACACAAAGTCCGGTCAAATTCCATCCATAATAGTTCACAACGACTAGGTAGGATTCGGTTTGTCGAAACATTATTTATGTACAATTTTAATAATTCAAAATGTCATCCGCGCATCTCGTTAAACGGGTTAACACACATTTTGCTTGCCACCACATTATTTTCATAATAATTTGTTATTTACCATCGTTTGTGATAGCTTTGTGAGGACTTAACCGATTAATTTATTTAACGTTTGAAACAACTTGCAAAGTGAGTGTCGTTGCAATACTTGAATATGAAAATATTCGATCTAAAACTAGAAACGTAAAAGCATAATAATGTTTTTAGGCTTTTTTTTAAAAAAAAATTTATAAATTACAAAAATTTCACAAACTTTCAGCCTAAAAAAATTTGTCATGTTAAAAACACTAAAACATCATGTGTATCTTATTTGTTATACTTTTGAATTGAAGAAAAACAAATGTATAAATCATTACATTGTATTTGTTTTAATAGCACTGATACGCATTAATATTATTTTATCATTAAAAAATAATTGATTTTGGAACTCTGATTTTCGACGGTCGACCTAATAAATAATATGTGATACCTTTCTCCAAAATTGGAGCCAATCTAAACAAATATTGAATATTTTTAAAACGTGCATCAAACATAGTTCTATAGAAATAAATTAAAATTAAAATCCCACAAAAACAACGCTGCTTAACACTACTTACATTATTTGGTTTTTCATGACAATTTTTTATACTTTGGATGTTTTTTTGGTTTAAAAAAAAAACTCATTACTCGAATATAAAATACTCTCGGCTTTGTAACGATATTGAAATCGGATAAGTTTTGTATAGTTTTTACAACCATTACTTTACAAAGTAATAAAACAAAAAAACTTTTAATAATCCCAAAGGTACGACTAGAAAACGTTACTAGAATATTTTATAAAATATCTTATAGGCTAAGGAAAATTAATGATATCAATGAAATCGGTATACTACCTGCATTATATAGGTACTGTAAAAAGTCTAAAAATCCTAACAGTTATAATATATTTCTCACAGTAAACAATGCTGTTAACAGAACTAATGTACTGATGCCGTTGTTTAGGCCGAAAGCAAAGGCTGCGATCGTTTTTTAAACGATTAAAACGTTTTTTGTGTGTCAAACGGCGAAAGCTAATAAATTATTTTCTCCTGGAGATTATAATTCGGAAAATTGAAAAAGACTATGAAAGTTTGAACACATTGTGGACAACTTGCCACCCTAAACTGGTGACAGCTACCGCCACGCCTTTATATGCGTTTCACTTTCCACAAAACAATTTAACATCTGTATCCGACAACGAATCGGCTTAAGAAAGTTGCCGCTTGAACTTTTCGAAATCATCAAGTCGGAAAATGATAAATAATATTTTCAATAGCCGAGACAAACTGCTCGTCGGCGGTTTTGTCTTGTGGAGTTTTGATGGCGAATAAATTAAAAGCAGGGATATTAAAAAACAATTATTCAAATTTCGCGGTTTTGCGGTGTCTTATATATTTTTATCTTTCCGACGAGGATGATATTAAAAAATTACAATATGAGATTATTATACAAACAACGAGTATTGGTTTTGGACTTGCCGCTAATTAAAAAAATTAATTAGATACGCCTACCTATCTATTTATTTTTATCCATTTGTGCAAACACATTTAAGCGCCCTTACTTAATTTCATATAGCCACCAACTGCAAATCCTAAGCCACCGCGATAAGAGCAAAATTGAGATTTTTCGATTTTAATATTAATACCTACTCGTTTATGGAAAAATTATTCACCATAAAATTTCTTATCACAGTAAGACATTTCAAAATATTATTTTAAATATAATATTAACGCATAAAATATGTATAAATTCGATTTGAATAATAAATAATTACACTTATCAGTTATCACATTTCGAGATAGCCAATATGAGAACGATGGAATCAAGGTAACCGATTTGGTAACCCAACCAACATTTTGTTAACTTAACAAATAGAATTTAATTATAACAATGTTATGATGCAACTTACTTAATTTAACCAGATGTTAAATTTAAATGAAATGTTTACCAACATTATGTTAAGGAGTGTATTTAATAATAGTTGGTGAAACCGGCTGTTAGACTACCACAATCGTAACAAAATTACAAGTTTTTTCCATCAAAATTAAAATTAGTAAAGAAACCGTAGTAAATAGAGGAGAACTTTATCTGAACTTGAGCGTTTTAAAATGTTCGATCCACTAATTTTTAATAGTTTATTGAAAATAGTAAAAAAAATATGTATAGTAAAAAACTTAAGATATTCTCTCCGCTCCACGGAAAAACATTCAATCACGAATATGTTATCTCTTATCACTTATCTTTTATCTCTTATCTCTAGCTGAAATATAAAGTGTAACGCGAAAATGGTGACATGACATTTTTTTAAAATTTATTTCAATTAAAATGTTTCAGCATATTACATGCTCTTACAAGTTAGTTATGAAATTTCTTGTATACAGCCCAATAATGTTTACATGTAAAAAATATATTCGATCTAAAGAAAAATATTTAATTTAATTGAACTAAAATTGTTTATGAAGTATAGTAAAATGTGATGTGATGTTAATGGACTCACCGCCTTCTTGAACGTCGCCATGTCTAGTAGTCATCATATTTTCCTGTCCTAATTGTTTACCTTGTCATAACCTTATAATCAAATCAAGCCAATAAAAAAAATACCGTAAGTTTCCGGACGGCTTGTTTACGTGTAAATCAATTATGTCTTGTGTTGTTAACGATGTTTTTTACATTGATTGTAAATTTACAATATTATTTAAAAATAAAAAAACCGCGCAGTTTTTTTTAATTTTTTTTTCTGTTTATTCTTCTTCTTCTATAGGTGTAGGATATGCTATATGCCTGATCGACATGTACATGGGGATGTACTACAACACGGTGATAAGTTGGGCGGTGTACTATCTGTTTTCGTCGATGAGGTCCGAACTGCCCTGGACCAGTTGCAACAACCCGTGGAACACTCTAAACTGCACTCCGGTCACTAACTTGACGAGCCTGGTCAACAGCTCCACTAGTCCGGCCAGGGAATTTTTCGAGTACGAATAAAATTAAAAAAAAAAAAGAAGAAATCGGGACAATTTTTCCAGATTTCGCCATTGTATTGTATTTTTCCCCTTCATTTTACAGGAGGAGCGTTTTGGAACAGCACAGGGCCGACGGTCTGGAAAGTATAGGCGGCATCAAGTGGTCTTTGGCGCTGTGCTTGCTGGCCGTGTTCCTGTTGGTGTACTTTTCGCTGTGGAAGGGCGTGAGGAGCACCGGTATGGTAAGTGTCGTCGTTTATAGTAGTATACTTGCGAATAATATTATAAAAAAAAAAAAAAAACAGGCGGACTTCGGAATCGGACAAGCTATTTTTCGCCGTAGTACTCGAGACGGTTGTTTAAAAAATATATAAATAAATAAATAAACAGCCAACTCTATAAGACAGCGTGTGTGTGTGCTGTGCGGTCAATCAGCCTAAGTAGTCCGGCGGTAAACTTGTTATGCAGCGAGCCAGGTTCATTACCGGTAGAAAAATCCGTTATCGCATACTCACTGTTTTTAAAATCATTCTGGTCTCTGGCCGTACCCTGTTTGTTCTACCGCAGAGTGTGATTGAACGCTATTTTCCACAACTCCCCTTTATTACCACCTACTGGTGTTTTTATCTCTTTGACGTCTAATGAATTATAGATTGAACCGTTGTGCCGAGAACAATTTTCTTGGCTCGCCCTTTGTTTCTTTCTTTAAGATAGAGAGGCTGTTTCTCGATTAGATTAGCAGCCAGCCGACGCTATGTATAATACACATTATTATTATTATAATATATATATATATTTTTTTCCAGGCCGTTTGGGTCACGTCGCTCGCCCCGTACGTCGTGCTGTTCATGTTGCTTTTCCAAGGTATATCGTTGCCGGGCGCCGGAGAGGGCATACGCTACTACTTGACGCCGCAGTGGCACAAACTGGTCAACACTAAAGTAAGTCAGGAATAGAGTATGTTGCTGGAGTAAACCAGGGCAACGGCAAACACCACAAAAAGGTTACAGCAAACTCTGGAGGTTCAGATTTTTACAAACAAAGGGCTTTCAATTAAAACATTAGACAATTTTACCCCATTTTTTTCAAGGAGAAACATATTTTAAGAAACCCACCTAAGGCACCCACCTTAACTGAAGAGCTCACACAATTCCAATGTTTGGTCATTTTTCACTTAACGGACCTGAGTTAGCTAACTAATCATTGGCGAATGATTTAGTACACTAACAAATATATTTATTAGGGCGATATCTAAAATTACATTGGCTATACTGTAAATTGTACTATTTTTATCATTGATAAATTATAAAATACAATAATAAGTGATATTTATACGTTTTTCTTTTCAAGGTTTTCTTCTTATTAAAAGTTAAAACCTATAGATTTTATTTTTTGTAATGGATTTTTATCTTCACTTTTTTCATTTCCATCTGTCATCTTTCATCATACAGTTATTACTTATTTTACTTTTATTTTTTATCATAACTTCTTTCATTTCCCTTTGTCCATTAAGTCCAAAAAATCACCAAAAATCACTTTGCTATGTTTAATGGCGCATGTTTCCTAACTATATGTTGTGTTTACTATATTTTAAATAATATTAAAAACAAATTTATTTTCTGGATCTACTGGCGAAGAAATCAAAATCAACAAAATATACCGTTCTGGCTATTGAGAACCTAAGCGATACGACTGCCCGCATGTTAGAGCTAAAGTCCTTGTATTATAAAGAAAAACTAAAATTAAAATTAAGAGAGGTTGAGGCTAAAGAAGCAGAGCAGTTAAAAATTTTAATATCAAAACAAGATGAATAAATAACTTAATCTAAATAACCACTGCATTCTTAATATTAACCACATATTAATTAATTTTTTTTTTCACGTACTTATAACATTTTAGTAAACAAAATATTACTTTTAAAATCAAATAGAAAAATATATATTTAACAAGCTAAATACTTGGATGTAATTCAAATTAAGGATATTTTTGTATTTTTTGTTTCACACTAATAGCTGTTGCACTAAAATGTAATGTTTAGCACACTAATATAAAATTCAAAAATAGACCACCCCAGGCCGTAAACCCCCAAAGCTACTATGACACAACAACTCGAGTTGGACGTAGAAAATCGTTGCCCAGCACTGCGACCCGCGTGTTCCCGTAGGAAATCCTGGATAACACAATGTACTGATAATGATTTCAGGTGTGGATAGACGCGGCTTCGCAAGTGTTCTTCTCGCTGGGCCCGGGATTCGGCACTCTGCTCGCGCTGTCCAGCTACAACAAGTTCAACAACAACTGCTACTGGGACGCGATATTGACCAGCTCCATAAACTTCTTGACCAGTTTCTTGGCCGGTTTCGTCATATTCACCATGCTCGGGTATATGGCACACGTGCAAAACAAGAGTATATCAGAAGTGGGCACCGAAGGTAGTACAGCGGTTCAGGACAGCTGTCCACTGTTTTTTTTTTTACCATTGCATTGACCTTGTGTGTGTTTACAGGTCCCGGTTTGGTGTTCATCGTTTATCCCGAAGCCATAGCCATGATGACCGGTTCGGTGATGTGGGCCATAATATTCTTTTTGCTGCTCATCACATTAGGTATATCTACTACTATTTTGCAATAAATCATTTACCAGACTCGAACGTCAGGGTTTTGTACACACATAGTCGATGGAATTGGTTTTTGACATTTTGAGCTAAAGCTAGTACACATCAGCTTGATGGAAAAAATCACACACATTTTCTCACGTTAAAAGTGCTAGATATGTCCAAACCACATAGTAGATAAGATTTGTGTGATATTTCATATGTATCTTGCCCATGTTAATTTTTATCAGTTTCCGGGCCTTGTGGTTAGCATTCGTGTGTGCTTATGCTATATTACTTCATTGGTGGTTGCTAATATACAAAGTGATGGGTTTGTTGGTGGTCAAAACCTATTCAAACTTTTCCCTCTTACGCCAAAGAACCACTTCAATTATTATCTAAAACTTATCCGTTTCTTTCGGTTTTCTTGATTTTAGGTTTGGACAGCACGTTTGGGGGTTTGGAGGCCATTATTACAGGTCTTTGCGACGAATACCCCAACGTGTTGAAGAGACACAGAGAACTGTTTGTCGCTGCCTTGGTGGCCGTCATCTACATACTGTCATTGCCCACTACTACATACGTAAGATATACAATAATAATTACATTCTTAATTGTTATAAAAAAAAAAAAAACTGTAGTTAAGAAGAACTAAAGGACAGAGTTTAGCGTAGAGATAGTTGTTTTGGTAAAATATCAAATTAAAACATTCAAGGCGTGATAATCTTTCGTTATAAGTTAAAACGGTTACATAAATGGGGCAAAGTCCGACGTCTTAGAGATGAAAATAAATTGTCATAATCGTGCACTTTCACCCAACGCAGTAAATTAATTTCCTCTGGACTTAAGTTGATGACATTAACGCGTATGACTGTTAGATAATTCATTTTGCTTTAATCCAACATAAAAGTCACTTAGAATAAATTTCAGAGGTGCTATACGCGTTTACTTAATTTCAGCGGAAATAAAATTTTAAAGTGAAATTCAATCTTCGGGGAAAAACAATTTTTTCCTCGAGTAATTGAATTTTTTTTTGTTGGAAAATTAAAAAAAAAAAGAGACTCGGACCATATTTAATTTCATTAAAAAATGTTCGGCCATCAGATGTGTAATTTTGTAATAGTGTTTCTTTTTGTAAACATGTTCGGCAAATTATTCCTAATTAATATATAAACTCGAGTTTATAGTTTTTGAGAATACACAAACATTACCGCTAACATTTTAAAAAGTTGTTGAAGCTCTAGAAAATACTAAGAAAGATACAAATTTGAATATTGTTTCAAAAAGAAACACTACAAAACTGCAATTATTTAGACTGTGTTTTTTTTGGTAAGTACTATCTTAAAAAAATAGTTTTCTAGATTTTTCTAAATTTTCTAGACAAATAAAAAATACAGTTTTTGCTGAAACTTTGAACTGATGATCGTTTTTGTTTGAATTTTTCCGGATAAATACGGATTTTCTGGCACGTTCAAGCCGGACGTTCAAAAAGCAGACCGTTATATTTAATTAACTTTCGATATTGCGTTGTCAGTCAGTCGGTAATTGTATTCGGCACTTAAGAGGGAAACCTTTCTTGTTTTATCCGGAATCGCTTATCGACTCCCACCGGAGTAGTGGTAGCCATTCAGCCGGCCTTTGGGTTGTCTGTTCGGACACGTTTGCCGAATCACCCCTCCTCCCCCGCCCCCAGGGGCCGCTATTGTTAATTGCCATTTAAGTTTAGATTTTATACTACAGCAGGTACCCAAGGTTGTTGTGAGCTTTTTCGGCCGCCAGCCTTTGCCGTTAACAGTCCGTTTGTTTGATCAGCCGTTTGCCGCTGCAAATGCTTTTAGCGGCGGTGGTTGTTTCAAGGGGAGGCCAGCCAGTGGTCAAATAAAACGAATGTCGTGTACTACCCTCTCTTCTCGGGTTTCTCTGTGGTTAAGACGGTCCAAAAAGAAGGGTAGCAAGGGGAGTGATCGGTCCGGTTGAATCCAGTTTGATAGGTCAAAAGTTAGCGGCGGCCGGTCATTAATTTTCGCCAAATGTGTGTGCGGTGTACTCGACCGATCCGCTAATGGCCGGCATTAGCTGATACTACTCCGACTGAATGCTTAATAAGGTTAGGTTGTCGGATGGAAATTATTTCGGACCGTCGCGAATAGTTTACCCCGCTGTCGTTAAGATAATGTATTGAGAGATCCATTAAGAGAAAGAAAAGCAAAAACAAAAAGAAAAGAACCATGCACGGTGTACCTAAAAACACCATGCGAGTCCACCCACCGCTGCGCTGTTCATAAATATGTATTTTGATAAAAAAATCCAGCACAGGTTTTTTGCAGAAAGTAAACTTTTCATAAAAACGTTTCCGTGAAAATGTCAAGACAAAAAATTATACTTATAAGTAAACATGGTTTTGCGATAAACCCTTTGCAAGAGACGTTTGTAAAATAACTTGTCATAATTCGAAAATAAACTTTTTTGCATATAACATAATAGATAAAATATTATCTAATAGATAATTAATATTAAAATAATTTCAAAACAAATAGTTTCGTTGCAGTATTATTTTTTTTTAGTTATTTCAAAAATAGAGTTTTTATGAACAAAATTGAAGTTATAATAATAATTAGTGTTACATAAATATTGTAAAATTTCTATGTACGGTTAAAAGTGGTTTCGCCATAAGTATAACTTGTCAGGGTCATTTTTACAAACACTTTACTGGAAAACAAAACACTTTGGATCAAAAATGAGTAAGTCAAAACGATAAACATTCATGGTAGTAGCTGTAACACAACAGCAAGACCAGATGGAATCAAAACAATTATGGTTTTATAATGAGTAGGTATCTCAAAATCGGTAAGCACCAGGGCATGTCCTTCCTACGGGCCAAATCAAGATGTAAATTAATCATATGTACATGACACGGTGGCGACCACCGCCCTAAGTATTGCTTAAGGCTTAGTTAAGATAGTTTGTAATAATTATGTTGTACTTAGATGTAATGTTAATGTGTAAATTGATTTTCTACAGGGTGGAGTCTACTTGATAACGTTGCTGAACGTGTTCGGACCAGGAATCGCCATACTGTTTGTCGTTTTTGTCGAGGCGGGCGCCGTGTGTTGGGTTTATGGCGTTGATCGGTTTGCCAACGATATTGAGATGATGATTGGACACAAGCCCGGTTTATTTTGGCGTCTTTGTTGGTGTTACATAAGTCCTGCATTCTTGCTGGTAAATACAAGTTAAACACGTTGGCTAACACTTTTTTAACACTTTCAACAATAGTTTGCTATGAAAATGTCGAAGAAGAAGAAATCAGATTTATCTAATTTTTTTTAGCTGATATTCGTTTTCTCCATTCTGGGCTACAAAGACATGATGGCAGGCGGATCGTACGACTATCCGGATTGGAGTATCAACATGGGCTGGCTAATGACCGCATCGTCGATTATGTGTATCCCGTTGTATTTCATCTACAAAGTGCTTAAGACACCGGGGCCGTGGAAAAAGGTTAGTGAATAATAATAATAATTACAATATAACATAAACATTGCATTAGAAGCGGTTTCGATTGAGCGTTTTTTTACAGCTACTGTGAAAACGCACAGCTTAGAAAATGTCAAACAACGACCAACCTCTCTTTTCGTCGTTTACTTTGTGAACATGTATAAAACTTGTTTTTTTTTTTAGAGCCAATGTAGTTTTTCCACTATTTACCCCCTGAGGTATCAGGACCCAGCACGATAGGAGGGCAAAAGAATGTGTGAATAAGTTTGCAGAGATAAAAAAAAAAACACCTTGTCGGTAATCCTTACAGGGTCGCTTTCAGTTTCGACTAAAAAAAAGTTCAAAACATGTAGTAATTGAAATAACTTTTGCGAACTCGAATGGTACCAAAAACTTTAAATGGTATCCGTTTTTCTAAATTTCTATGTCAGTGCTTTCCGGTGTGAGAAATTAAACATAATATATGGGCATCGTTGTTTTTTTTTACTTAAATATACTTAAGTACTCGAGCCATTCGAGTCAATAACAGTACTTTATGTTTGGACAGATATACTCTGGGAATGAGACAACATACATTTGGATTATTACAAAAAAAAAAAAATCATCTTATTCAAGTTATCCATAAGTCTTATACTCAAATAGAGTACGATGAAGGAGACAGTGTAAGATGGGTCAGGCGTTTCCAGTGTGGGTCATTGTCGGTGTCATCTCTTGAACTACACAGTATAAGTCTCTTGTTTGTTTTAACATTTTTTACCTCCCCCTTTTCAGCCCTTGCGCCTATTGATGGAGATCAGGGGGGGATTGGGGTATTGAAAACCATAAAACTTAAAATTAGCGCTTTTCAAAATACCTACATTCACTTTTTAGTGAGAGAATTGTTGATAGTAAAAATATATGTAGCACTATTTTTAAGTTTTAAGGGGATTGCATGCTGTCTGTTTTTAAGGAGTTTTGTACAGGCAATTCGTTTAAGAAAAAGAGGTTTTAATAAATTTGGACCATGTCAATTAGCTGTTTACCGGTTAATTTGTATACGCTTCAAAGTATTATGATTAAATGAAATAACTTTTTCTACGAGTAAGAGCCAGACAAAATGTCTACTACACACTAGGATTGCCCAATTTTAGTTCTGTAAAGAGATTCTTTGGCCACTTTACTATGTTTTGTAAGAAGATGATTTTTATTTAAACGTTTCAGTTTCTTGTAATTAAATCCCAAATTTTTTTTACATTTAATACAAAAATCTGTTTCCTACATAACCTATAGTGAAGTTGCCAAAGAACTCATACGTTTTTACAAAACTGAATATCCTAAGTAGTCAACATTTTGTCTGTCCCAAGCCTGAGTGGGAATTTCGTTACTGGGATGTTCGTTACTGGAAAACGTAACTGACTGGGTTTTGCGTTGCAGAAATTCCAGTTGGCCATGAAACCGGAAGACCCAGAACCGGACGACCGTGACATGGTGACGGCCGTGCGCGGCCTAGGCGGAAGCGTTGGCGACGGCGGCGGCGGCGGCGGCGCCACGCACGTCTGACTTGAATGGCTCGTCTGAACAGTGGACGACGGTCTGCGGCCGGACGACTCGGACACCGGAAAATCCGCATTGGACCTAACCCGACCGGTCTTGCCGGAACCGCGTCCGGTAAGGTCACGTCCGCCGATCGTATACGCTTATCGTTAATAATATTATTACATTATATCTTATCGGAAACATTAATATCGGTTTAAAATAAAAATAAAAAAACGCTTACGGCTTTTAACGGTCTTGTAGCTATTAATAGTGCGTTAATTAATTTATCTTAATAACGTGTAATTCATTAATTATTTGTATTACTTTATACTTATAATAACAATATTATATAACCAATATTAACGTGTTAATGTCGCAATAATGTAGTCAAATGAAGTAATTTAATTAGATGTTAAACTTAGTGTGTCGCTGTTAAGTAGTTGAATGTGTTCTTACATAACGTTAGTTATTATTATAACATTAGTGTTTAAATTAATTAAAATATATTATAACGTTTAAGTCTTAAAAACAACAAAATGTCCTGATCAAAAAATAATTAATCGACATCTACCATCCTATGTCGTACTGTACAAAAATATGAGTAATAACTACTATTAATATTTGTATTGTATAATGTGTATTGTATGTGTATGTCTTTTTTTTTTTTTTGAAAAATACTTTAAGATAATATTTGTATTTTAGTCTTAATATTATGTTCAAGCGTTAATATTGTAAAATCTCGAAGGGTTCTGATACTTAAATAAATATATTATTATAATATTAAATATTATTAGCCCAGGCTTTTGATCCTGTAGAAAATTAACTATTAATCAATCATGATTGTAATTTTAAAAAAAATTTATAATATTATTATTATCGTTAATCGTTTAGTAGCGTGTAATCAAATACTTGTTAGCTGTTAGTCTTTGGTGTGTTTGTGAATAGAAGATATTAACATATGGTAGTTTATTAGTTATACTTAACTATTATATATTGTTTGTAACCTACTGCTGCATTTGGACTATAAAACGTTATAATAATCAGCGTACGATTTTTTTTTAATTAATAATAATATTAGTGGTGTTTTTTTTGTTGTTGTTTAGAGTAGATGATAATAAAAATAAGTGAAATATAATATACAAGTAGATCCGAGCTTTGTGTGTGTGTATACTAGTCTCGCCTCGTACTAGACACACTATTATTAGCAAAAGTATAATTTAAAAAAATAATGTTACAATCAAATGATATTCCACTGTGGTTACCATTATAATATGGACTTTTATTTAATTTAACATAAGTTATTCAATTTTTTTTTTTGTTTTCAATTCACAGCAAAACATCAACAGTTATACCTACTAATAAAAATCCACTAACAATCTAGTGCATCTAATTATATTTATCTATTTTACAATAACTTTGCTTTAACCGTTTTGATTCTTTGTATTTACCAATTAACATTATTATGACGATAAAGTCGTTAACATCAAAAGCTATAATAGGTCTCTTAGACTTGTATGCTTTGAATTTAAATAAATACTATTATTAACCAACGATTAGCTATTAAGGTCTGACACTTAATATTAACGATTTTAATAATATATATTATTACTTATTGATTATTATGATAAATCGACTTAATACTAACACTAAAATTATACAATCATTTTTATTATTATTATAATATACTGTTCATAATGTAAACCTACTGTTATAATAATATATTGTGAAAACTGCTTTTAAAATATTATATTATAATATGTTTTTAGTCAATAATAAATAATAATTACAATTATAGTACATAGAGAACGTGTTGCGTTTTTAAAAACATGGTTATTGTTTTTAGTGAGTTTTCCTTTTTGTATGTACACAAATATCCTTATATTATTTTTAATCTATTACCATAGCTGACAGAAAAGATTACAAAGCGTTTTTTTTTTTTTTTAAATGTTCGTTTCTATTCTTCTAAAGCCAATATTTTCTCAATACATTAAGTGATGAACATAATATAGATGAATGTCGAATTTGAAACAAGACAAACAGGTTCAAATTTGTATCGTTAATTTTTTCCTTTGTTTCGACCGATTAACTACATTTTTGGTTAGGTTAGGTCTCTTCTTTTCAGACTCGGGTCAAAGGTTAAATTTGTCATTGCACGCTGAGAAAATTCCAGTGTACTATTTTAAAAGCATTGTGTATTTTGTTAATTGCCAATATTGTTTGGCTGTCAACACAGCCAAATAAATATGTGTATCACTAACCATGGAAATTACGTTTGAAGGCATCGTTTAGTTATTTTTTGTCCAATTGAAAATTGTCAATTTTTGTTAATCGTAATTTGTCTTTCGGGAAATACACAACTCTCAACACTCGATTAACGTTGATGTATAGAAACTGTTGTAATTTGGTTTGAGTTTTACTGATATTATTCGTTCAATTCAAATCAATGTTAATTGTTTCCAGTGCTGTAAACAATACTTAGTAGTAAAAAATGTATTAGCTTTAGGAGAACTTCTGTCAATTAAAAAACTTAGTCGAAATAATTAAAAGATTTATTTAGATAATATTATTATCCAACATGATATTGTTTCAATGGACAATAGTAATAACGCAATAGTAAGTATAATAGAACATGATAATAATAATAATAAGCCTAATGTGCAAAACTCGTTTACTGAACAAATATGTTTCGCTATCTGTTGGCGAACTTATCACACGGTATAACTATTCAATAGATTGCATGACATGTTATTATCTTTTCCAGACGCGGTTTGGTAAAAGCGTTACTTTTAAAAAAAAAAAAATTGTCAATTCTATTTTCCTAAAGCAAGTTTTGTCATCAATACAATATAGAATAATATTGAACATAATATTTTTCAAGTATATGATTTTTTTCTTTTAGCAACTTGCTTTTTTTTTTAATTTTCGTAGGCAACTCGTCGTATACACTGTTAAGAGTTATGAACTAGGTTTTTTTCTTGCAATTTACATAAGTTTTTTTGGGAGGGTTGAGGGATGGGGGATTTTAGGAATTAAAATGGAAAATGTGTCAGTACCTTTGGTATTAGTGCTTTAGCGGGTAGTGCAAATATGAGTAACTTGTAGAATCAACAAGTTTGTCTAACTAACAGAAACTCAAGACTATTGTTTTCAACTAAATAATAAAAAAAAAACCGATTTATTTTCATAATAAAATATTATCCACACACGCGTTGAACAATAAACGGTTTATTTGTTATTGTATATATTATTCTTTATTCAAAGGCTGTACGGCAAACAGCAAAACATACTTTCAACAATATGTTTTGCAGTATTTTTTTTTATTGCAGTAAAAAAATATATACAATGTACATATTAAACGAAGTTATACTAATATTACTCGCATCGACTATGCTAACTGGACTGACTCGTTCTCTTTCCCCTTGTAATATAACATCATAAAAAAAAATCATGGTTTGGCCTTTATCTTGTAATCCCTCTGTTTTCTAAAAAAACATACAAAAACACATAATAATTTAATATGAATGTATAAAAAAATATGAATATTGAATATCTGGGTTTTTTGCTGTTATTTTGAACATTATTGTTTTATAATAAATATATATATTTTTTTAAATTTGATATAGAACAACTTAGTCTACAGTATGAAATAACTCATTTTTTTTAACTAATTGATTTTTCCCTTCTAAAATGGAGTTAAATTTAAGAAATAGGTAACATTTGATTTTGTTTTTTTGGCGATTATTAAAAATGATAAAAATAAAATAATACACCTGCACTGTGCAGAATTTAATACCCTACAAAAGTGTATAATTTTTTAATTTCTATAGTGTTGAAACGTTTTGAGTTATGACAGAAATCTATATATATAAATAGAATTACTGAATATTGGGGGAGGGGGTTTTTTTTTGACTAGGTGGCGGAGGAAATAATTTATTAACGATTTTAAAAGTCGCCTTTGCTCACACTACACGCTAACGGATACATACGAAAGTTATCCGCACTATATGCCTTAATAATTTTGTAGAAGACCTACAAAATACCCTAATAGCAATAGAGAGAATATTAGAAGGAGATGTTGAAGGACAAATTGCAAGAGGAAGACCAAGGGCAGAATACACGACACAGATAATGAATGATATGATAGAGGAAAGTACAAAGACCTGAAGGAATTGTGCTACGATAGAGAAGCACGGAGAGCTGCAACAAACAAATCTACGGATTTATAACTGAATAAAATGCTTTAACACATTGAGATTTCATTGGAGTTACACGAAAACAGTGTGAATCACATACACAAACATGCACACAGTAGGTAATGTCATGATTAATATTTATGTTTGTTTAATTCTTGTAGTTTTCGTCGTCGTTTATCGCCGTAAAAAGCAGCGGTCGACCTACTAAGCAATAGGCGTGTGTACGATGCACATGCTAAAGTTTTGAGTTGGCGTTTAGATCTTTTGTTAAAAAATTTACAACCGTTTCGCTCCGGCAATAAACAACGATGATGATGATGCGTTGGACTCCGGTCGTGGTGTTGTTGTGCACTTCCCTGGCGATGACTTCGGTGTTGGCCGTGTTCGACGTGGACAAAGCCTGCGCTCTGATAAGGAACCCGTGTTGGTCCAAGCACTACGGTCAAGCAAACGGCAGCGAAGAAGCCCACCCCGAGGGCGAAGCTATCAGAGAGGCTGCGGGTCAATGCGACGGCGGGGACCATCGCCAGGTGGACGAATCGACGCTCGAGAAAGCGCTGCGTGACGTGGAGACGTTGGTCGGTTGCAGGTACGCGAAGGCGATGATCCAATGGCTGACTCTAGTGGACGTGCTGCTGGCGAACGTCACGTCCGACTCGGCCGACCGGTTGTCGGCGAAGAACTGGCAGATCTGGCAACAGCAGGTCGGGCCTTTGTTGCGGAAAGCCGGCGCCGAACTCGGGTACACTTGGGCTAAGACTTTGCGCGTTCTCCACGCCACATTGCCTGCGAGTTCGCACCACCTGGAATACCTGCTGCAGGCTTCCGCCTCGTTCAGCGCGTACGCCAACGACAAAGCGCAGGCGCCCGGCCAAGGCGATTATCGCAAAAGGTTTTCCCGGTTGCAGCTGACCCACATGACCGTGTTGCGACTGTTGTTCGACTACTCGGTGGGCCAGTGCAAGGCGGACGAAGTCGAGTGGGACCAAGAAGGAATTTTCGACAACACCGTCACGGCCAGCGTGGTCGTGATGCAAATGAACAAAATCGCGGACCGGTTGAAGACTATGGCCGCGGAGCTGAATCTCGTGGACTCGGACGAAGCTACTGTGGCAGCTGTGGGTTTCCCAGCCGTCCAAGACCCGGACTCGTTCGCGCCCACAGACGGCCGGGTCACGTGCAAATGGCAAGGGGTCATGATGGACTTGACGAAGGTCTACGGCAACCTGCTGGACGATTGCCGACCGCACCTGTTCGCCTATTACGCGCTTTTCACCGACTACGTGCTGACCGTCACGTTGTACACGTACCTGGCCAAGTATCTGCAAGTGTATATCGAGTCGGACCTGGTACCGTACAGTTTTGGTACGGAGCCCAGCAATGACCCTGAGCACTTGCAACCCATCCGGAATGTCATCGTCGACACAGCGTCCACACATCCTAGGTACGGCCAGAACGGTTCGTTGCGGTTGTTGCGAGACTACTTTGAGCGCCAGCAATCAGATCCTGCAGACGCCTTGACCGTTGTAGACTTGAAGCTGATACTCGACGGTTACATTGAGCAAGTCAGCTATTTCGTGACATACCACTGGGAACTCTACCATGAACAGGATACGGTTCCTTTGGATTCGAAGAAACCGGCAAACGACTTAGATCCCGAACCCGAGGATCTCGAGGTAACGAAACATGTAATTCTTGAAGAAACGGAATCTCCTGAAAAGGTATTCGGCCGTTTATTGGCACGCATAGCTGAATACTTGGATAAAGTCAAAATATCCCATACTTCATTACACCCCTGAATAGGATATATTGTTACAGTTATTGTATTGCACCATGTTAAGAATATACAATTATATAATATGCTAATCGATTTATTCAATTTAATTTCACGGACAATGTCCAATATAATAATACTAACACAAATATATAATATAAGAGCTGATACAATAATGAGAACACAATAAGAATATAAAAATAATTATATATAAAAACAATAAAGAAAATATAAATCACATAAATCAATCAGCTAATTTACATGCCAAGTGACATTGAATTGGATGGTTTGACAATTATTGTAATCCTGAGGGAGGACATGAGGTATATAAAATAATATTGGTTGTTACGAATATTGTGGTTTTTATTTAAAAATTAATTAGATTAAGAAGAAAAGAATCGTCAATTTCAGCACTGAGTAATAAAGAAAGTTCTGTGTGCAGTGATTCTGAACTGTAATGGTCGGTATTTTCAAATCTTCAATATTGCAATTCTATGGAAGGGTTCACGTGGAATCACCCGACCTACTTGTTGGGGGGGGGGGGGGGGTTGGGGTAGTATACACTTATGTCAAGTTAAAAAGCCATCGTCCCCGAGCGTCTCCTATGAACTTTCTCGATTTTATATATTATTATCAAACAAGGGGTTGTCGCGGATTACACAGAGCGCCAAAGCCAAATAAAGAGTTCCAAGACACGTTCAG